GTCAACTGTCAATTGCCCTCTGAAATGACCTAACAAGCCACTCAGTTGTGTCAATCGCTCATTCATTGCTACAACTGAGTGGCTTGTTAGGTCATTTCAGAGGGCAATTGACAGTTGACCACATTGCTGTGGGTCTGGAGTCACATGTAGGCCTGATTAGGTGAAGATGACAGATTTCCTTCCCTGGACATGGATAAGCATTAGTGTTATTGGACATTTACAGAACTATACAAAAATGGCCACTAGGTGACTCAAATCACTCTACAGCATTAACTGCGTGTCATATATTGTTTTAACAGCACATTTTATACATTAACAGTGCTACGTAAATGCAAGTTGGATTGTTGATGGTTCCACTCTCACCCTGCACCGCAAGAATCGTGTCCAGGCTGACTACCCCTGCTTTGTTCCTGGCAACACACGTATACCATCCTGCATCAGCAAGCTGGACTGGTAGAATCTGTAGGGATCCATTTGCAAACGTTTGCAGGCGCATCTGGTTAGCAATGGTGCGGCCATCTTTCACCCATGTTACCTCTGGTTTTGGATGGCCCTCTGCCTCGCAGGGTAAAGTTGCAGGATGGTCAATGGTGGCTTTATGTTCCCTGCTGTGAGCTTTGATAACTGGGGGAACTGAGTAAAAAGCGAGAAACCATATGTTTCATCATTCATGATACAACAAGTGGATTGTATTTTACATACAGTCAGTCTGTGTCTGATCCCTGCTCATCTTAAACAGCAAACAGTCCCTAAAGCGCGTTAAATCAATGATTTTAACATTATTAATTGCAAAGCATTAACTCTCATCAGAACCCTACCTTGGACCACCAGTTTTGTCTTGCCCACAGCAGTGCCAGCTGCATTTTGGGCAATACACATGTAATTCCCTGAATATTCCTCCTTGGCTCTGGTGATCTCCAGCGCTCCATTAGCCAGTAATAAATAACCTAAGACAGAAACTAATGGTCAGTTAAAACCTAGGGTCACACACAGTGGTAGATCGGCATAGTCAAACATGGATATAATAAACAGAATTCACCTCTCTTCTTCAGGGAACAGTCATTCATCATAAAACTATAATACGTAGAACAGAAGATCATTTGGCACATTGGGTCCGCAATGCCATTCAAGGAGACCACAGCTGATCTAATAATCCTCAACTGCACTTTTTTTGTCTTATATCAATAACCCTGATTCCCTTACTGATTAAAAATCTATTTCAGCCTTGAATATTCTTCACAAATCAGCTTTGACAGCCCTCTGCAGTAAAGAATTCTACAAACTGACTACCCTCAGAAAGAGAAAATCCTGTTCACCTCTGTCTTAAATGGGTGGATCCTTTTCTCTGAGATTATACCCTCTAGACCTGGACTCTCCTACAAGGGAAACCAACTTCTCTGTATTTATCCTGTATAGCCCCCTAAAAATCTTAAAGGTTTCAAAAAGTTTGTCTATTGTTCTTCTGAACTTGATGAGTACAAACCCAATTTACTCAATCTCTCCTCATGTAAATCATTCCATACTCAAGATCAATCAAGTAAACCTTCTTTGGGCTGTTTCTAATATCAGTTTATCTTTCCTTGGATAAATGGACTAAAATTGTTCATATTATGCCAGGTGTGGTCTGGCTAATGTCTTGGATAGTTTTAGGAAGACCTTCCCATATTTAATTCAAAGGGAATCCAGTATAAAAACAACATTCCATTTTCCTTCCCTTCCTTGCTTGGTAACGCAACGTGAAGTGTTCTCAATTTCTAACAATCTTGATGTTAGAATGCCATCTTAAGGATATAGAGTTCCTTTTTTCATGTCATAATTCATAATGCTAGTGGTGGTGGTGATATGTTACAGTTGCCCTAGTAATGCGCACATTGTAGACTGGAGCTACAAATAGTGATGGTTGAGATTCCAAAATTCTTTCCATCACATGACTGGCCAGGAATCTCTCCCACTCTTACCACCTGCCATTGTATTTGCTAGATGGTAGTCAACATGCTTGCTGTGTTATAAATGCACTTTCCAAGGTCCTGTATTGGGATTCAAATCCACAGCTTTCGGTTCAGACGCAGGTTGCTGCTCACTGCACCACAAGACCTACACATCACAATGCTGTAGCTGAGCATATTCTGAAGGTACAATGTGTGCACAATGGCTAATTTCAAGAGTTATTCATAATAAAAGTAAAAACTTTATTTCTGTGCCTCAGCTTGACATTCTCCATCACTTCTGTCTGTTCCCATCCACAGGTTACTGAAGGAATTGGAATTGAAAATTGATTGTCTATCATGAGGGGAATTTTACACTCAAAGGCTGTCTTTTTGACATGTGTCTTGGAAGCCAGAAGGACAGGAATAAAGGAGAATCATTAAGAAGTTTATAAGTATCTCTTTTTGTATTTACATTTTTATCAAATTGAGGGCATTTTGGCAAACAGCAAATTGTCCCACTTCCATCTCCCTGCTGGTACAGCACAGTGAAATGTTGGACAATCCCTCTATCTGATTCAGAAATGCACCCAAATTCATGCAAGAATCCTCTGCTATAGAACTGGGGTGTTTTCATCTTTGTAGGTTATCTTCTGGCAGAGTGAGTAGTATTACTGCCTTTGAGTCAGAACCTCTGAGTTGGAGTCCCAGTCCAGGACTTGACAGCCAAGGATGGTGGATCCTATCAATCTGCAAATACTTCAAACACATGCCAAGGGCAGGCGGTAAGAGTAGAAGAGATTTCTGGTCAACTATATCATGAAAAGAACAATGGAGCCTCTATTGCTCCAGAGTACCATGTGTATGTACAAGTGCATGGTGCCATTGAGATTTAGATTCTGAGTGAACCATGACACATCTGCACAATCACCAGTCCTTTTATATCTCTTCCCTTGGGTAAACCAATTTAACATTGATTTCATACAAATACTCATGTTCTAGAAAATGGATTATGATGCACTGAGGTCTTCATGTAGGATTCTGAATCTTACAGGCATACCTCAGACCAATCAGTCTATGGTGGACTTAGCCGGTTCATGGTGTTGGAAGGATAGTTTGCTACCTATTAGACATCCAGTCTCCCTTTATAACATCTCAGGCAAGCCTCAACTCAAATTAACACCTAGTCTCTTTAAACATTCCAATACAAATCAGGTTTCATCTGACTTGAATGAAAACAGAACATAGGAGCAGGAGTAGGCCATTTGGCCCTTCAAGCCTAGTATGCCATTTAGTAAGATAATGGCTGATCTGGTTGTGGTCTCAACACACCCATAACCCTCAAACCCCTTGTCTATCAAAAGTTCAATGACAATGTGGGCAACTCATAACCAAAATTCCACTCTCTGTCTCCATTAACAAATGACACATACCTTGCACCTCAAGAAAGTTGGCTGTTGTGGCATTACAGCTTACCTGTGTTTGTGATGGTGGCACCCTCTTTCTGCCAGGTAATACTGGGTCTTGGTGTGCCTGTTGACTCACAGGGCAGGATAATATCTCTATTTACTACAATTTCCACAGTGGCAGGTAGGGGCTTGATAACAGGAGGCTCTGGGCAGGCAGAAGATAACAGAAATTCTGCAGTTAAATAGGATTACCAAACAAGAAGAAAGAAAGAGTTTTTATTTGCGTAATACCTTTCACAATTTCAGGTAGCCACTGATGTGATGTAGGAATTAAGTACAACAAACTCCCATGCATAGCAAGGTGGCAAAGACACATTAAATAGAATGATTAACACTTTAGGAACCGATTAAGTATCTACTCTGAACTTGACTATTTTAACACTCTCCTGTCTGTCCTCTTATCTTCCACCGTTCATAAACTTAAAATTCATCCAAAACTTGGCTAACTCACAGCAACAAAAGCAGAAGTTGCTGGAAAAGCTCAGCAATAAAAAAAACCCGAAACGTTAACTCTGATTTTTTCTTCACAGATGCTGCCAGACCTGCTGAGCTTTTCCAGCAACTTCTGTTTTTGTTCCTGATTTACAGCATCAGCAGTTCTTTCAGTTTTTATTTAGTATCTAACTCGCTGCAAGTTCCATTCATTCAGTATCCTGTCCTTGCTGGATTACCGAAGCCTCCAGTTAGGCAATTCCTCAATTTTAAAAATCTCAAGCTCATTGTCAAATCTGTCCATGGCCTCTATCCTTCCCTTCCTCTTGACCTCCACCAGTCCTGCAACCCTGAGATCACTACACTCATTTAATTCTGCCTCTTGCTCGTCAGGACCAAAAATCATTGGATGGGATCCAAGAGCCTTTGGTAACCCTCCATCTTCAAATCATGCAGCATATATTGTATCTAATAAACAAGGAAATCTGCAAAAAAGGAACCATTTTAGAATGCTCAGTGTTGAGAAAAGTCTGAATGTAGAAAACTTATTAACAAGTGGAAACTGTGCAAGTACAAGTTGGCAATTTAGGCGATTATCTTTTAAATATGTCATCTGATAGTAACTTTGTCTGAGGTTAAATGTTTTCCAGGAAGGTGCAAATGATGGATAAGAATGGAAATCTGAGTTACTTCACCTTGCACAATGAGCGTTACATGTCTGTGTGCTGTCCCCACCACATTGTGAGCTGTACACATGTAGCTGCCAGCATGGCTCAGGGTTGCTGTGGTGATTTCCAGAATTCCTGCAGATGCATAATGATTAGAAACAGTTCCTGATAACTGAGACACTTGAAGCAAAACCCTTGTGAAAAATGATGAGCACTCTCAGAGCTGTGCAATTCTTGCCTGAAACATGTGCAGCTGGAAGTTGAAGACCAGATAGCTCCTATTCAAACTGGGAACATCTGATGCAATTTTCAGTTGAATAAGTGAGAAGTTCTCCTCAATCTATCTCAGACCTCAAACTTTATGACACATCCTCTTCCCCATGAGCATATCAGACTCCTATGCAAGTTGCAGGACCACCAATTGAATTTTTTATACAAGTGGACACTGAGTGCCTTTAGGAGCTGCCCTCCACGGCAGCATAGGTAACTGTTCCAAAAAATGCTCAAAAAGATTGCAGAGGGCTTTTTTGTGAAGGTGGGAGGAACAGAAGCATTTTACTCTGACCGACTACTAGATCAGTACTTCACATAGCAGCTCCCACCACCTCCCCCAGCTCCAACTTGTTCAGCCTTTTCACTGGCCAATTTCCCAACATCCCACAATCAGTGACCTATCATAATGGGCCCATCTGGCAGCTCGCTCAGCTATAATCAAATGAGGATCAAATTGGAAGATGATTTCAACCTCCCAATGCTGCCATCAGGTAGGAGTCAAAAATTACCCCTTTGTTGAAATGAAAATACTCTTGTATTCCTCTGCCTCTACAATTATTCTCCTCTACCATGCTCACTGAAAGGTGCTGCTTCCTGACTGCGGATACTGTCCCATGGGTGCAGCCACCCTCTGGAATCTTGCCCGAGGGGCTGCTTTTCTTACTAGAACCATATGACAGTGAAAAGATTGGGGAGGATGCAGTCACCATGTCTGACCCTAGAACTCAACTAAAGCTTATACATATTTGTTTCTGGCATACCAGAATGATCTAGAGTTCCAATCTTCTGCAATTGACTCGGAATATCCACAAATTGAAGACAGATTTTTTGAGTGTAAGCAATTCAGGGGGAAAATTGCAGAGGTGTGAAAAAATTCATTGAAATGTTACAGTGCAAAAGGAGGCCATTGAGCCCATTGTGAATGCATTCTCTCCAAATGAACAAATGCATGGCACTAAGTGCTTTTCTCCTGTTTTCAACGCTGCATAACGTTCCTCTTCAAATTACCTAATTTCATTTTGAATGACTTGATTGAACCTGTCTCACCACATTCTTAGGCAGTGCATTCCAGATTCTAAACCAGGCTGAGAAAAGAGAAGGTGGAAGCAGGTGAAGGTGACCAGTTCTAAGTTGATTGATAAGTGTCGTATTTGTGAGCAGATTTCATCCTTTTGGTTGAGCAGTGGGACTCTCTGTGAATAATCTATTTGTTACGTGGCAGTTCTTCCAAGTAGAATGCCATCAGCCATGAACGCTGAAGGGAGATCATTGAACAACTTCATCAATGGTCCAAAAAGGCTTTCTCATTGGCCAAAAAGGTCACTGAGACCTAGGTCATATTTTGCCACCTTTCGTTGCTCTGACAGATGTTGGGTAATTCAGCATAAAATTCAAACATAGCTTGCATATTTATTCAATTGAAAACATTTTGGACCACAATTTAGTTTAAGACAGTTCTCACAGAAAATATTAAATCACTCACCAAAAGACAAAGATAACCAGAGTAATCTGATCAAAAACTCATGCTAAAATGAACACAAATTAATTTTAAATTAAAATTCAATCTTGCACAAACCTGTTGGTAGGATTTTGTACCCTGGGCCTCGGTTCCCCATTTGAGCTCCATCCTTCATCCAGCTCACTGCAGGTTCTGGGATTCCAGTCGCGTGACATGACAACACCACCGAGGACATTTTAGTGACAGTAACATTTGGAGAGTCGTCAGCAATCGATGGGGGAACTGAAATGTAAATACATAACAATGCTTAAAACAAGGCATTCAGCTTCAAAAGAAAACCTGGAACTTATTTACTGCTTTTATATACTGGGATCCCAGAGCCCATGGTAGCAAAGTAAATACTTCTGATATGTAGTGTAGTCATTGTTTTAAAATAGAAAAAAAACAACAGCCAGTTTACCACAAACAACGATGGAATATAAGACAGATAATCTGAGAGTTTTATGTTGATTGAGGGACACCGGGAATATCTTGTCTGCTTAACTTCAAATACTACCATAGGATCTTACACATTTAGGTGAGAGAGTAGGTATTTGAATCCCAATGCTTCGAAGGAAAGCATCAATGGCGCAGAAGACAGGTCCATGCCACAATCTACTTTAGTGAGCTGAAGTCAGGTGACTCACCTTCCACCTTGTCTTTCTCCTTTGTGAATACCAATGCAAAGTATTATTAAGGACGTCACCCACTTCTTTTGGCTTCACACATTAATTCTCTCCCTTGTCCTTGAGTGGACCTACCCTTTCCCTAGCTACCCTCTTGCTCCTTATATATGTACAAACTGCCTTGGGATTCTCCTCAATCCTGTTTGCCAATGACATTCCATAGCCCTCTGTCTGTCTTCAGTTTCTTGAACCTTACATATGCCTCTTTTTGCTTTTTGACTAAGCTCTCAATTCCTCTTGTTATCCAAGGTTCCCTAATCTTGCTATTCTTATCCTTCATTTTCACAGGAACATGTTGGTCCTGAACTCTAATCAACCGACCTTTAGAGGATACCAACATGCCAGATGTGGATTTACCCTCAGCCATCCCAATCTACATTACCCAGTTACTGCCTAATATTGTGACAGTTAGCCTTCTCCCAATTTAATACTTTCAACCTAGGACTACTCTTGTCCTTATCCATAGGTAATTTGAAACTTACAGAATTATGGTCACTGTTCCCAAAATGCTCCACCACTGAAACTTCGATCACCTGGCTGGGCTCATTCCCCAGTAGCAGGTTTGGTATGGTTCCTTCTCTCGTTGGACTATTTCTATATCATTCCAAAAAAAATGTGCTGGACACACCTAATAAACTCTTCCACTCCCATCCCCCCCACCAATCTAAGCCCCTGCCACTAAGCAAGCCCCAGTCAATATAAGGGAAATTAAAATCACCTACCACAACAACCTTTTGTTCTTACATTTTCCCATAATCTGTCCAAATATCTGTTCCTCTACCACCCATTGGCTGTTTGGAAGCCTCAAAGTGATTATACCCTTCCTGTTCATGAGCTCTACCCATATGAATTCACCGGATGAGTCCTACAAGTCCTCCCTCAGGACAGTTGTGCAATTCTCCCTTATCAGTAATGCAACTCCCACACCTCTTTTACATTACTCTCCATCTCACCTGAGATATCTCTAAATCCCAGAACATTAAGCTGCCAGTCTTGTCCCTCTCTCAACCAACCCTCTCTGTAATAGCTACAACATCATAGTCAAATGTATTAATCCAAGCTCTGTCCATCTGCTTTACCTGTCATACTGCTCACATTAAAACAACTACACCTCAGACCACCAGTCCTGATGGATTCAGTAACCGCTCTCTGTCCGTTCTTCCTTTTAGTCTTATTGGCCTTTGTATCTGACTCCTCCCCAGTCATTATAGTTGCTGACCTACTGCTCTGGTTCCTACTCCCCTGCCACACTAGTTTAAACACTCCCGAGCAGCACTAGCAAACCTTCCTGCCAGGATATTGATGCCCCTCCACTTGAGGCGCAACCAGTCCTTCTTATCCTGATCCCACCTAACCCAAAAGACATCCCAATGATCCACATGCCTGAAGACCTCCCTCCAGCACCAGCTTTTTAGCCAAGTATTCAACTATTCTATTTTTGTATTCTTAGTTTCACTGGCACATGGCACAGGAAGTAATCCTGAGATTACAACCCTACAGTTAACAAGGTGTAGAGCTGGATGAACACAGCAGGCCAAGCAGCATCAGAGGAGCAGGAAAGCTGATGTTTCGGGTCTAGACCCTTCTTCAGAAGTTGTTGCTTTTCAACTTCCTACCTCACTCTCTGAACTCCCTTTGCAGGACCTCATCTCTTTTTCTGCCAAGTCATTCATACTAATATGGACCACAACCTCTGACTGCTCATCCTCCCCCTTTTGAAAATCCTATACCTGCTCAGAGACATCCTTGATCCTGGTACCCAGAAGGCGACACAACACCCTGGAGTCTCACTTGTGGCCACAGACACACCCATCTGTGTCTCTGTCTGTAATCACTACTGTTTGCCCATACTTTAATGCTCCTTGCTGTACAACAATGCCAGTTGTCATGCCACTGATCTGGCTGCTGCTTTATCCTGGGAGGTCATTCCCCGCAACACTATCCAAAATGGTATACCTGTGTGAGAGGAGAATGGCCACAAGTGACTCCTGCGCTGTCTCCCTATGCTTACTCGTCTTCCTGATAGTCACCCAACTCTGTCTGTGTAGCTGTTAACTGGTGGTGTGACCACTCGCAATCCATGACATTCTCAGCCTCATGGATACTCCATAGAGAATGCATCTGCTGCTCTATGTGCTGCATGTGGCATTTCAGGAGCTGCAGCTGAACATATTCATGTATATGTAACCAGCATGGACACTGGAAGTGCCACTGATTTCGTACATATTGCAGAAGGAACATTCCACGAGGCCAAGTTCTCCTGCCATTTCGAAACTTATCAACAATCCAGGAACTGACTACACAACCTAACCTTCTAGTCACCAAACTCAGGTCTCTCAATCCCGTTCTCTAATCCCAGCAGACTACAACTACAAAAAGTAAGTACTTTATCTCTCTCCAGGCACTCAGTTAGCTCAGAGGACTGGAGAATAGCCAATGTTGATCCTTTGTTAAAGAAGGCCAAGAGAGATAATCTTGGAAATTACACACCAGTGAGCCTTATGTTAGTGGTAGGGACATAACTGGAGAAGGTTCTTAGGGATAAGATTTATACACATTTGAAACAAAAATGTATTTATTAGTGATAGGCAGCATGAATTTGTGTGGGGAAGCTTGTGTCTCTCAAATTTGATTGAATTTTTGAGGAAGTGACAAAGATGATTGATGAGGACAGGATGGTAAATGGTGTCTATATGGACTTTAGCAAGGCCTTTGACAAGGCATGGCATGTTGGTATAAAAGGTGAGGTCATATAAGATCCATGGTGAGCTGGTATGATCAATATAGAACAGGCTTAGACATAGAAGACAAAGAATAGCTGTGTAAGGCTGTTTATTAAGACTGGAGATCGGTGACAAGTGGTGTTCCACAGGGATCAGTACTGGGACCCCAACTGTTTGTAATATGTATGTTCTGATTGGGACCAGGTGGACCTTACTGACCAAGAGCTTCTTGATTGGTATCAAGAACCGGGCCAATCAGGAAAGCCAATATAACCAGAAAATTAGAATCTCCTCAGTTGAGGACTGACTTTGAGCTGACTAGTCACAGCTACTGAACTGTGCACTTGTAAATAAAGGGTAACTTGTTGACGGGATCCAGCCCGAAACCTCAGCTTTCCTGCTCCTCTGATGCTGCTTGGCCTGCTGTGTTCATCCAGCTCTACACCTTGTTGTGTCGTGCCTGAAGAATATTTGCTTGCAACTGTCATCTTGGAGTTGGGGTAAACATTTCTGGCTCATGCCTCCATTTGGGAAGCTTGACTCATTTGACCCTGCTGTTAAAGACTGGGCCCTGTATTTGGAAAGAATGACATTGGAGCAGATGAAAACCAAGTAATCCTTCTGACTGCGTGTGGATCTGCAGCATTTTCACTTAAAAGAGGCTTAACTTTCCCAGAGGCACCAGATACTAAAACCTTCCAGGAGTTGACAGAGTTGGTCAAGAAATATTACGACCCCAAACCTCCTCTAATCCTGAGGTGCTATGGGTCTTCTTCAGCTGTTAGAGAACCGGGGGAATCCGTTTTGGGACTTTTGATGAGGTTACGATGACTGGCAGAGGCATGTGATTTTGGGTTAACCCTGAATGAGATGCTGAGAGACTGTTTGCTATGTGGGATTAATGGTGCAACTATGCAGAAGTGCCTACTAGCCGAAGCCGAACTGGACTTCAAACAGGCACTGCAGCTGGCCTTGTCATTAGAAAATGTGGCAGGTGGAGCATGGAAACTACAGGGCATCCCAACGCAAGTGGACGCCCTCAACTGTCCAAATGAGCTTGGGGAACACCACTTGAGGTTAGGCGCTCACAGAGCCTTATGCAGGGCAGATCCTGAGCAGAGGGACCCTAGGCCAACCCACAGCAGAACTCCGCAACAAAGCTGAGCCTCGGCCAAGTGGCTAAACAGTTTTTCAGGATCTGGACGATTTTAGTTGCTGCTGGTATGCAGATTCAAGACAGCAAAGGAGTCCTACTAGGCCTGATTTGAGTAGGAAAACTTGTAGGCTGGTACCCAGGAGAGTGCACACCCTGGCATGTCCCCCTACATGTGGGTTGGAACAATTAAATTGCTTAGTGACACCCAAATTGGAGCTTATTAAAATTAAGGTTTGGTTAAATGGACACCCAGTTTCCATGGAGGTCGATACCAGCGCAGCTGTCTGTAGTTGCAGAATCTGTCTCTAACAAAATTCGCTCGGGACTCCAACCCTTAAGTTTGTGCAAGACCTCAGCCAGACTGAGAAAATACACTGGGGAACCGTTGCAGATTAAGGATATGATTTCGGTTCTGGTTTCCTATGAGAAGCAGTTGGTGCACTGATGGTAGTAAGAGGCTCAGGCCCAAGTCTACTGGGGCAGAATTAGTTGAGAAAGATTCACTTAGATTGGATCTGCATTTTTCAATTGGAAAATGGCTGCCTCAGTGAAGTCCTAGTGAAATACCAAGGAGCTTTTCAAGAAGGGCTTGGGACTGTCAAAGGGGCCAAAGCCACTTTACTTGTAGACCAGGACGCAATTCCAAGATTTTGCAAGGCCCTGCCTTGCAGACAAAAGTAGAGGCGGAAATCAGAGGGCTGGACAATGAAGGAATCCTCAAACTAGTGCAGTTTGCAAAATGGGCAGCACCAGTCATGAAGACTGACGGCTTAGTTCACCTTTGTGGGGATTTTAAGCAAATGGTAAACGGCTTCTCACAGCCAGATAAATACCCGATCCCTCGCATAAAGAACTTGTACGCAAAGTTGGTGGGGGAGCTGTCCTTTACGAAGCTGGACATGAGCCACACCTACCTGCAATTGCAACTGGATGAGGAGTCGCAGAAGTATGCTAGAATTAAAATCCATAAGGGTTTATATCAATATACAAGACTGTCATTTGGAGCATCATCAGCTTGTGCTCTTTTCCAGTGGTCCATGGAGAACATTTTACAAGGTCTACCCCAGGTTGCTATTTATCTGGATGACATATTAATAACAGGGAAGACCAACAGGGAGCACTTGGAGAACTTGGACATAGTGCTTAAATGTTTCTCTCGGGAGGCATATTCCAGGTGCCCCAACTGACCTACTTGGGTTACAGGGTTGGCAAAATTAGATTACACCTGTTGGAAGAGGAAGTGAGGGCAATCAAAGGAGCCCTGACTCCCATGTCCATACCAGAGCTTAGGTCTTTCCTTGGGTTAGTGAATTATTACAGAAAATTCATATGTAACCTGGCCTCTGTCTTGGCACCCTTACACAGGCTGCTGAAAAAGGGCAGCCAAGAAGCAGCCTTTAGGGAAGTGAAAAAGCAGCTATCGCCATCTGAGGTATTGGCCCACTATGATCCGAAGTGAGAAGTAGTGCTACATGCGATGCCTCCCCATACGATATCGGGGTAGTGTTGGTTCACTGGTTGCCCAATGGAGAGGAATGCCTGATGATGCCGAACACAAGTATGCCCAGGTAAAGAAGAAGATTTAGTGGTTGTTTTTGTTATGAGGAAGTTCCACCAGTATCATTACAGATGGGAGTTAATAACAGATCACAAAGCCCTGCTAGGGCTACTGAAGGAAGACAAGGCGGTGCCGCCCATAACTTCTGGCAGAATTCAGTGTTGGACCCTTATTCTCGGTGCCTAAAGTACAAGTTAGAACATCATGAAACCAAGTGGTTAATGCGGATGTCTTGAGCCGCCTCCCACTGGCAGATACTCCACTGGTGCTGCCTCGCCTGGAAGAATCTGTTTTGGTTTTAAACTTTCTGGACTCCCTTCCAGTCACTGCAGACAATATCCGACCATGGACACAAAGATCCTGCCCTTGCGAAACTGAAACAGACGGAGGCAATGGGGAAACAGAAGGGCATTGCAACCAGGATCAAATCCAGGACCCAGTGAGACCAGATCACTGTAGAGGATGGCATATTACTGTGGGGAGCAAGGGTGATTGTCCCGAGTATAGGTCGCTGCCAAATACTGGCCGAGCCCCACCAGGGTCTTCCAGGGGTTTCCAAGATAAAGCTGCTGGCAAGAAGTTATGTCTGGTGGCAAGGGTTGGATTTCGACATTGCTGCTTTAGTGGGGCAGTGCCAGAGTGCCAACAAGGACAGAAATTGCCACCAGTAGCACCCCAAAATTCATGGGAATGGCTGGGTAAACCTTAAACTCAGTTGCATGTTGACTATGCCGGTCCTTTCATGGTCTCAATATACCTGGTCACTATGGATGGCCATTCAAAGTGGTTGGACATGCATAAAGTTCGTTTAGCAAATTCCAGGATGACCATTGAGAAGCTGCAAGCATCATTCGCAACACATGGACTCCTGGAAGTGTTGGTTATGGACAACGAGACGTCATTTACCAACAGGGAATTCGAATATTTCCTAAAGTCCAATGATATTTGGCACATAAGGACAGTTCCATACCATCACTCATCCAATGGTCTAGTGGAAAGAACTGTCCAAATGTTGAAGGCAGGCTTAAAGAAACAGCCTACAGTGTCAATCAATACCAAACTGACCTGGTTCCTGTTTGATTATCCATACGTAACAACACTGATAGTTCCGGCAGAGTTGCTGATGGGAGAAGACTCCACACCAAGTTAAACCTGATATCTCCAGATGTGGGGTGGAGGTTAGAGGATGAAATGGCAACAGGAACGCCAACGCCGGCCATAGGCCTCCTCTAAGCGAGAGAGACAATTTAATTCAGGGGATGAAGTTTGGTGCTGGAACCTTGGAAATGGCCCTCTATGGGTACGAGGCGAGGTTGATTCAAGGTCAGGTCCCGTGACTTACCTGGTTTGGGTAGGTGATACTGTCCTGAACAAACACGTGGATCACCTGAAAGCTGTCACCTCACAAATGGGGCAGGAGCAAAACATACCTGGCCCCTCAGAACAGCCAGAAGGCCCGGCAAAAACAACAGAGGAAACTTCAGAGTCTAAAATGGATTCAGCCTCAATACCGTTGCCACCAGGGGAAGAGGAGAAAACTCTCCCGAGACATTCCCCGAGATGGGCCATGGTCTGGTACATACCGCCCGTATCTGAGTCCAAGTCAGAGGAACCGGACTTGGGGCAAAAACACAGCAAGTGAAGCCACAAGAGAAAGACCCAGCCTACATGCCTAGACTTAGTGGGGAAGGGATATAGTGATTGGGACCAGGTGGACCTCATTGACTAAAAGGTTCTTGATTGGCCCAGGTTAATAACCCCAATTAGGAAAGCCTTGGCTAACCAACATAATCAAGAGAGGGGGTCCACAGGGGGGGAGGGGAGTGGCTCTACGCGGGAGTCCTCCCTCTTTCTCTCGGGGATCTCAGGTGGAAGGTGTTACATGCAGCAGTCCCGTGTAACTGCAGATTACGGTGGTTCACGGACTTCCAGCCCAACTGTTTGCTCTGCAGTCCCTGGACCATGTATATGTTAGGTCTGGCGCTTGCACTTCTTTTTCAGTTGTCTTAAGGACTGCTTTTTGTGTTTTTGGCTACACTTCAGCCCCATGCTCCTGATCTTTGGGCACCTGGTGCAGAAGGGAATGAGCAGGTTGGTGGATCTCCTCGTGGGTCTGTTCCTGGGCCTAGCCAAGCTGGCCATTAATAGGTCCAGGCAGCGGGCCATGGAGGGGGGTCATTATGGCCGACTGCCTGCCCCATTTCCATGGCTTCGTTTGTGCCCTGGGGTCCCCAGAGAAGGAACATGTGGCCTCCACATTACTCTCAATACTTTTCGGGAGAGGTGGGCACTGCTGGGTGTGGAGTGCCTTATCTTGCCCTCCAATTCCATTTTGATTTGATCCCTACTCTTTCCCCCTTTACTTTTTCTTTCACATAGGCTTTGCCCCTGGGCTCTGCTTGATACTGAATCTTTGGTCACATGGGTGTTTTTTTCTCAATGGTGGTATATTAATAAAGTTATTTGCGCACATTGTTTTTTACTGTGTCTCTCACACACAAGGGTGCTGGAGATGGTATGCACTACTGCTGTATGGCAGTAGTCTTGGGGTTAAGAGAAAACAAACAGGAGATTAGAATCTCCTCAGTTGCGGACTGACTCTGAGCTGGCTGGCCACAGCCAGTGTACTGTGCACTAGTAAATAAAGGGTGACTTGTTGACTTGACCTGGCCTCTGAACTTATTTCAATATATAAGTGATTTGGAGGAGAATGTAGGTGGCCTGATCAGTAAGTTTGCGGATGACACAAAAGTTGGAGATCTGCGTATAATGGGGAAAATTGACCGAGGATACAGCTGAATATAGATAGACTAGAAACTTGGGCAGAGAAATAGTAGATGGAATTTATTTCAGACAAATGTGAAGTGATGCATTTCAGGAGATCTAATGCAGGAGGTAAGTATACAGTAAATGGCAGAACACATAGAAACATCAACTTACAGAGGAATCTAGGCACACAGGTCCCTGAACGTGGCAACACAAATGGTGAAGAAGGCATATGACATGCTTGCCTTCATTAGTCTCGGCACAGTATAAAAATTGGCAAGTTGTGTTGCAGATGTGTGGAACATTAGATGGCCACATTTGCAATATTGCGTACACTTCTGGTCACCACACCATCAGATGGATGTGAAGGTTTGAGAGGGTACAGAAATGGTTTTAAGGATGTTGCCTGGTTTGAAAGGTATTAACTATGAGGAAAGATCAGTTAAACTTGATTTGTTTTCAACTAAATGTCAAGGGATGATGGACAACCAGATAGAAGTTTACAAAATTATGAGAAGCATGGATAGAATGAATAGTCAGTCTTTTTCCCAGGGTAGAAATATCCATTAGTAGGGGATATGGGTTTAAGATAAAAGGGGTTAAGTTTTTAAAGGAGAAGTGAGAGGCAGGTTTTTTAGAGGATGGTAAGTGCCTGGAATGCGTTGCCAGAGAAGGCAACGTTTGTTTAAGAGACATCTTGATCATCTGTCTCTTCCCTCTATGAAAGATTTGTGCCAAGGAAACAGAAGAATAAAACAGAGATAACAGAGTAAATAGACACGAACACATTGAAAAATCAGGGACATAGGACAAAGAATCCATATGAAAGTCCTTCTGAACTAGCCTTTCATTCACACAGGAAGAAGCATTTTCATGGAATCATGGAGGGGAAAAATGGCAACTTGGAAACAGTTCTTGCAGCCTCATTGTACTGGTCTTTATTTTTAGTATAAGACCAAAGTCCACATGCCCACCCTATCTCCCAGATCTCTTTGACAACTTTTCCTTCAACCACACTCTGACCTATTCTTAAGACTGCATTATATCAGTCACCACGTCACTTGTCGAATGATTAGTACTTGGGTTAAGGAAGTCTCACCATGGACCGTGAATTGGATAAGCCTGTGGGAGTCACCCGCCTCATTAGATGCTACACATTCATACAGTGCTGTATCCTGAGTGGTGGCCAAAATGATCACCAGCGATCCTGAAGGTAACAACCTGAGGGAAGATAATGATCACATGAAGACTTGTGTCAACAATTAGCAGGTGATGACTAAATAGAACTAAACAGGCTAAGGTTGTCCTACAGCTCTCTAGATTCTGAAGCATGGGGGAGCCTAAATTGTTCAAAGTTCGAATAACTAATGAAATTATCTAGCTAAGGTTCTCACACATTATATAAATCCACACATTACAGCTGTAGCTGTATTCAGTAATTCCATTTCCCTAGGAGCAATCCTGAAGTGTGGGAGCAAATTGGGAAGCACCTGTACAGGGATAATGGGCCAAAATGGTTTATTTTGCTGTAGTTTCTATAGGATTGCTGCCTCCTTTCAGTTTCAATGCAGAATGTCCCAAATTTAACTCCAATAGAAGGATGGAATTATTACCGCACATAGAATCTGATGCATCAGCCAACACATAGTATTGTATTGTTTAGTGCTTTCATCAGGTAACTTTTGAGTGGGCTTACTCCATTAGTCGATCTCATAATCGGCTCTTACTGCACCAATGTCACATAGAATTACATAGAACTTGCAGCACAGAAATAGGCCATTTGACTCTCTCAGTCTGTGCTAGTGTTGATATGCTACAAGAGTTTTTGCACCGTTCTTTCTCCCTCAGCTCAAACTTTCAGCTTATCTTTCTATTTCCTTTCCTCTAGTGTGCTTATCTGGTTAGTCTCTTTTACAAAAGAATCACGGCTTTCTACTGCAATCTCTTCCTGAGTTGGAGAGTTCCACAACCTAACCACACATGATGAATTATAATGTTCCTTCAAAGATCCAGCACAGTAACAATATGCTGAATGGTCTTGTTTTGTCCTGACAGATGTTATGTCTATTCCCATATCCTCGTCCAAAAGTCTTACTTTCTTGATTGAGATTATTAATCTTGCTATGCATTTTGTGAAATGCATGTCATTTCTTGTTGTGCTTTCTCACTATTGACTCAGACTCTCACAACTTTCATCCAACCTATTTTTTGTATGAGTCAGTAAACAGACTTTTATCGCATCAATCTGGGCAAGATTCAATCGAAGCCCCCAGAGGGAAAAGTCAGTACAACTGACTCACCAGTTCCCAGTTCTTCAAATCAAAGTTCTTACTGCTTATTAACACAGTCTTTCAAGCAAAAGCATTTTTCCACTCAGTCCCTCAGTGTTACCTGTACATGTTCTGTTGCATGTTAAAGTTCAGTGGTTTACCATTTTTCTTCCAGGTCACCTCAGGTTTTGGGGCTCCTGAAGCCTCACAGCTCAACTCTGCTTGAACATTTGCCACAGCGGTGATGTTCGTTGGAGCAGGACTGATGATGGGCGCACCTAATAAAGAAAGAAAATTCATGAAAAATGGGACACAAATGAGACAAGAATTTTTATTCAGATGTTTTCTTTCATTGGAAAACTTGGAGAGAATACAGGATTACTTCCCTTTCATGAAATAAATTCACTCTCCCAGTCAAGTATTAACATTCCAGAAAGTTTTTATTATTTTAATTTATTCATGGGATGTGGGCATTAGGCCAGCATTTAAGCCTGCACTGCAGAAGGCGGTGGTGAGCTGCCTTCTTGAAAAATCTTTAGTCTTTGAGGTGTAAGGACACTTCTAAGTGCTGTTAGGAGTCAGTTTTTGGATTTTGACCAAATGAAGGAAAGTGATATAATCCAAGTCAGGATGGTGTGTGTCATTTGGAGGGAAACTTGGTACAGTTATTTTTCCAGACATCTGCTGCTTTTCTTCCAGGTCAGTGCTTCTCAAGTCCTTTCCCACTGTGACCTCATTTCAAGGTTTGAATATTGTAGACAAGGTATTTTGTTCGATCTAGTCTACTGTATTCTTCGTTCACAGTGCTATCTCCTCTACATTAGGGAGACAAAACACAGACCGGGTGATCACTTTGTAGAACACTTACATCTGTCCATAAAATTGACCCAGAGCTTCCAGTTGCCTGCCACTTCAACATACCACTGTGCTCCCATGTCAACATTTCTGTTGCAGGCCTGCTACAGAGTTCCAGTGAGCCACAGCGCAAGCTTAAAGAACAGCATCTAATTTTCTGCTTGGGGATCGTGCAGCCTCTGGGACTCAATAACTTTACAGCCTGATTCCATCCATCTGTACTTTTACCCGCTCCTCTAAACCGAATCCTGTAATGACATGGGGTGCTTTTAGCACAGCCAACCCATTTGCACCCACTCTTGTTATCCCCTTATATAGTTTGCTTTCAGCGTGGACTATCCATTGTCTGCTACTCTCAGCTCTTTTTATCACTTATTCAGCTTCTATTCTGTCCTGGCCAGCCACTTGTGATCCCCTTATTTAAGTACACCTTTCATATCTCTCGGTCTCTGAGCTCCATCTCCATTTATCTCTCCTTATACCCCTCCCCCAACCTCGTCTTCAGCATGAATATTAGTCTTTCCTAGCTGCTATCAGTTCTGATGACGAGTCACTGGATTCAATAAGTTAATTCTTTCTTCCCAAAGATGCTGCCAGACCTGCTGAGTTTCGCCAGCAATTTCTGTTTCAATCTCCAGCATCCACAGCTCTTTGTAAATTTCAACTTGCAATCCCACTTGGGGTCCTGACGTCCACTTTGAGAAATCCTGTTCTAGCTGGCAGAGGCCTTGAGTTTTGAAGGTGCTATCAAAGGAGCTGCTTTGTCCTGGATGGTGTCAAACTTCATGAGATGCACCCATTCAAGCAGGTGGGGAGTATTCCATCACACTCCTAACCTGTATGTTGTAGAGCGTGGAAAGAGACCGATGAGGTAAGTGGGTAACTTACTGCAGATTTCCTAGCTTCTGACTTTTTCTTGTAGTTACAATATTTATACGGCTGGTCCAGTTTAGTTTCTGGTCATTGGTAACCACCAGGATGTTGATAACGGTGGATTCAGCAAAGGTAATGCCAATGAACGTCATGGGACAATGATTAGATTCAGTTGGAAATGGTCACTGCCTGAAACTTAAGTGGCAAATACCATTTGTGCCACTTATCAGTCCAAATCTGGATGTTGCTTATGTATTGTTGCATCTGGACATTAACTGTGTCCATATCTGAGGAGTTGCGAATGATGCTGAACATTGTGCAATCATCAGCGAACATTTCCACTTCCGACCTTGTGATGGAGGAAAGGACAGAACAGGAACTAATCTTCCACGCTTCTTTAATAGGCATTAAGAAGTTACACATTAGAAGTGTATATCTCTTAACTTTCATTCAATTAAATACAATTAATATACAATCAATAACATGGAAGTTCCTTTCTATTGCTGGCTGTGGATTCCCTAATTATTTCTCTGTGTCCTACTGATTTGGTCACAAAATATGCAGTACTTTTATAGAGTCATATCCGAGAGGAAAACTTAATTCCTCAAAAGACCCCCGACAGCTTTGGTGTTAAAGTCAACATACCCAAGACCTGTAGTTCGATCTTATGATGATCTGTTCCAACCGCATTTGATGCTGTGCAAAGATAGTGGCCAGCATCCGAAACCTGGACTGAGTCGATCTGTAGAGATCCCTCAGAAAGAAAGTCAAACCTGCAAAAGAATCAACAATGCTCAATGACAGGGCATGGGAGAAACATAACCATATCAACTGTACCTTGATGAAAAGGACTATTCAATCCAACACCACTTTTAAATATTTTCTAACCAACCAGTTCAGATATGTTATTACATACCTCCAGAACATGTGGGACTTGAACCTAGGTCTCTTAGCCAAAAGGGAAGGACACTACCCCTGTGCCACAAGAATCCTTCCAACACAACTTTATGATAATTATCAATTGAAAATCCTTCCAAATAGAACACTTTGTTCATGCAGCATGGATGCCCACAATTCTACCTTCATGCAGGAATCACTGCTTAATTGCATGGGTCCTTCCAAGAAAGAGCACTTCTAATAATACTATTTGGAGCATTGGTGATCACCGAATCATGGGAGTTAAAGAGCTAGACTCAGTCTTTGGGATATTCTGAATTAGATATTGTCCGTCAATACAGAGATGAGAAGTCTGCAGGTTCCTTCTGCATTCTTGGGCTAGAGACCAGGAAGTAAAACAGCAAAGATTCCCGTTCTGGTGGAAGTAGTCACCAATTAAAATTGTGCATTTATGGGAATAAAAAGCATGTGTTTAGCATCACAGGTCACAGAATTGTTATGGCGTAGAAGGAAATCATTGGGCCCATCACATCTGCACCAGCTCATTAAATGAACATCATTACCTAGTGTCGATCTCCTGTTTTTTTTCTCATACCTTTGCAAGCACTTTTATCCAAATAGTCATCCAATGTCCTCTTGAATAGCTCAATTGAACCTGCCTCCTCCACACTTCTGGGCAATGCATACCAGACCCTAACTACTCGCTGAGTTGAAAAGCTTTTCCTCACTTCACCTTTGCTATTTTTTTTTTGCAGGCCACTTTAAACTCCATACCCTCTTGTTCATATTCCTTTTTCAAGCAGGAAACATGTAACTGAAGAAGCGCCGAGGTCAGGCCCTGTAACACTCTCCTTCCAAAGCTGAACAAGTTGCTGATATCATCATCGCAGCGCACATATAAAGGATGTCAACTCAGGTGAGATGTTACAGTGGCACTTGGCACTCGCATTCAGCACTGTATAGTAGCAAGATCCATCAACCATAAAAGAGAGGGGGAGGAAATTGACATTTAAAAAAAATTGGAAATTAGTAGTAGATCAGAGATTGAGGAGTTAAAATTCAACAAAGAATAACTAAAAAAGTAACAATAGGGAGAAATTAGAGTATGAGAAAAAGCTACTTCAAAACATAAAAACAGTTTGCAAGATTTTCTACAAATACTTAAAAAGAATAACTAATGTGAGCGTGGGTCTACCCAAAAGAGTCTAGGAATTCATAATGATAAAGAAGGAAGTGGTGGATGAATTGAACAGACATTTTGTGTCTACCTTTACTGTACAACAACTTTCCAGAAATAACTATCGATCAACAGGTGAAAAAGGGAGAAACTTAAAACAATTACTATCACCAGGGAAAGCTTATTCAGAATACTATTCGAACAACTCAGTACTTGATGGACTTCATTCTAGGAAACTAAAAGAACTGGATGCGGAGTCAGTAGATACGTTGTATTTAATTTTTCAAGATTCCCTTGATTTAGGAAAGATCTCACCAGACTGGTAAATAAATTATGCATCTTCTCTATTTAAGAAAGGAAGGAGACAGAAAGCAGGTGGCAACACATTAATTAGCCTAACATCTATCAGGGAAAATGCTAAATCCAGTTATAAAGAACATTATAGCAGTACACTGAGAAGACCTGAATGCAATTAGGCAGAATCAACATAGTTCTATGAAAGAGATATCATGTTTGAATAACACATTATAGTTCTTTGAAGAAACAACAAGTAACATGGATAAAGAAGTACCTGTGGATGTAGTATACTCGGATTTCCAAAAAGATGTTTGGTTAAGTGCCCCATCAAAGCTTAACACACAAAGTAAGAGCTGGTAGTGTAGAGGTTAATATAATAATGGATAAATAATTAGTTGCCGAACAGGAAGCACAGAGAGACGGATAAAAGGGTCATTTCCACATTGGAAGGCTGTAACCAGTGGAGTGTCTCAGATCAGTGCTGCAGTCTCAACTATTTACAATCTATATCAATGACTTGGACAAAGGTGCGGAGTGTATAGTTGCGACATTTGCTAAAGACACAAATATAGGTAGGGAAATAAATTGTAAAAAGGACACAAAGAATCTACAGGTGGGCAAAAAATGCCAGATGGAATTTTGTAGGAAAATGTAGACCTGTTCACTTCAGCGGGAAGATCAGAAAAGCAATATTTTACTACAATTAAGAAAGATTGCAAAATATTGAGCTACAACAGAAATCTGGTTATCATGATACATGAGTCACAAAATGTTTGTATGAAAGTGCAGCAAGTTAGTAGGAAAGTGAATCCAGTGTTGTTAATTACTAGGGAATGGAATATGCAAGTTTTGCTCCAATTAAATACAGCATTGATGAGACCATACCTGGAATACTGTGCACAATTTTGGTCACCTTACTTGAGAAAGTATACGATTGCATTAGAAGAAATACAGAGTCGGTTCACTTGACTGATTCCTTACAAATGAAGGAGTTATCCTGTGTGAAAAGATTTTTCAGGTTGGGCATGTACCCATTGGAATTTAGAAGAATGAGGAGCAATCTTATTGAAACATGTAACATCTCCAGAGGAAACAGGATAGCTACTGGACATTTTCTTTTTATTTTGTGGAAGAGATTAAGTTAGGGGACACAATTTTAAAACAAAGCATCTCCATTTTTGACAGAGATAAGATGAAGTTTTTCCTCTGTCAAAAGGTCTGTAGAATTTTATTCCCAGATAACAGTAGAAGCAAGGACACTGAATATTTTGAAGGCTAAGTTGGATAGAGTTTTGGTTGACAAGACAATCAAAGGTATACGGGATAAACTGGAATGTGAAGTTCTGGCCACAATCAGATTAGCCATAACCTCATCAAATGGTGAAGCAGGTACAAGCGACTCAATGAACTACTCCAGCACTAATTTGTACATTTGTATGCACTGGTAAATAGTTTAGCATGAATAGAAATAGAGCCAAACTCTTGAGGATTAAGAGATTGGATAATTTCACATGTTTATAGCTGCCGTGGATGGAGGGTGGGGCGTGGGGAGGAGGATGCAGCCTTATGTCCTTCTCTGACAATTACTGAGGAATTTTCCATTATCTGCCTGTACCTGGGACTGCCTGCAAGCAGAAAATTGCCATCTTTTCTCCAAGTGACTGTTGGTTTTGGGATGCCTTCGGCCTCACATTCCAATAAAGCAACCTGGTTGACAAAGACTGACAGTGACGGGGAGTTGGCTTTAATTGTCGGGGTAACTGAAATACAGAAAAACACTAAGTTAGTCAATCTGGGAATAATCACCTGGAATAAACACGTACAATAATAAATGAAACTTACATTCATGCCCACTTATTACCAACTCATTCACCAGTGCAAATATTTTTCTCTGATTTATCAAAATCCTTCATAATTTGGAATTGCTTTTCTAGATCTTTGCAGATCCCCTTTTTTCACGGTTCTAAAGAACGGGGCAGAAGAGAAGAACACGCAAGTTTGCACTCACCATGAACAACTACATTGAAGATATGAGTCATTTGTCCTGCTATGTTGCTAACAAGGCAACTGTACTTGCCAGCGTCTGAGGGCCCAACATTACTGATCAGCAAGTATTGTCTATCTGGCACATTCTGGATGTGAGTATTTGCCTAAAAGAAAACAAAAGCAAAACAGAAGTTTTGTGAGGGGTAAAAGTAACAACAGAAGTTGCAAGGTCATACCCTGATTTCTGAGTGGCATGGGATAAACACATTGCACTGCCTGAACTGCTCTCATACCATGAGATAACAAGGTGTAGAGCTGGATTAACACAGCAGGCCAAGCAGCATCAGAGGAGCAGGAAGGCTGACGTTTCGGGCCGAGACCCTTCTTCAGAAATGGGGGAGGGGAAGGGGGTTCTGAAATAAATAGGGAGAGAGGGGGAGGTGGATAGAAGATGGATAGAGGGGAAGATAGGTGGAGAGGAGACAGACCGGTCAAAGAGGCGGCGATGGAGCCCGTAAAGGTGAGTGCAGGTGGGGAGGTAGGGAGGAGATAGGTCAGTCCAGGGAGGACGGACAGGTCAAGGGGGTGGGATGAGGCTAGTAGGTAGGAGATGGGGGTGGGGCTTGAGGTGGGAGGAGGGGATAGGTGGGAGGAAGGACAGGTTAGGGAGGCGGGGATGAGCTGGACTGGTTTTGGGATGCAGTAGGGGGAGGGGAGATTTTGAAGCTTGTGAAGTTCACATTGATACCATTGGGCTGCAGGGCTCCCAAGCAGAATATGAGTTGCTGTTCCTGCAACCTTCGGGTAGCATTGTTGTGGCACTGCAGGAGGCCCAGGATGGACATGTCATCTGCGGAATGGGAGGCGGAGTTGAAATGGTTCGCGACTGGGAGGTGCAGTTGTTTAGTGCGAACTGAGGGTAGGTGTTCTGCAAAGCGGTCCCCAAGCCTCCGTTTGGTTTCCCCGATGTAGAGGAGGCCACAACGGGAGCAGCGGATGCAGTATACCACATTAGCAGATGTGCAGGTGAACATCTGCTTGATGTGGAAAGTATTCTTGGGGCCTGGGATGAGGGTGAGCGGGGAGGTGTAGGGGCAGGTGTAGCACTTCCTGCGGTTGCAGGGAAAAGTGCTGGGTGAGGTGTGGCTGGAGGGGAGTGTGGAGCGGACAAGGAGTCACGGTGAGTGGTCCCTCCGGAAAGCAGATAAGGGTGGGGAGGGAAAGATGTCTTTTGGTGGTGGGGTCAGATTGCAGATGGCGGAAGTGTCGGAGGATGATGCATTGGATCCGGAGGTTGGTGGTACGTGAGGACGAGCGGGATTCTGTTTCGGTTGTTATTGCGGGGAAGGGGTGTGAAGGGTAAGCTGCAGGAAATGCGGGAGACACGGTTGAGGGCGTTCTCGGCCACTGAGAGGGGAAGTTGAGGTCCTTGACAAACGAGGACATCTGAGATGTATGGGAGTGGAATGCCTCATCCTGGCAGCAGATGCGGCGGAGGCAAAGGAAATGGGAATAGGGAATGGCATTTTTGCAGGAAGGTGGGAGGGAGGAGGTGTATTCTAGGTAGCTGTGGGAGTCGGTGGGCTTGAAATGGATATCGGTTTCTGGGTGGTTGCCGGAGATGGAGACAGAGAGATCCAGGAAGGAGAGAGAGGTATTAGAGATGGTCCAGGTGAACTTAAGGTTGGGGTGGAAGGTGTTGGTGAAGTGGTTGAACTGTTCGAGCTCCTCGTGGGAGCATGAGGCGGTGCCAATACAGTCACCAATGTAACGGAGGAAGAGGTGGGGTTTAGGGCCAGTGTCGAGGGATTGTTCTACGTAACCTACAAAGAGGCAGGCATAGCTTGGGCCCATGCGGGTACCCATGGCCACCCCCTTTGTCTGCAGGAAGTGGGAGGAATTGAAAGAAGTTGTTGAGGGTGAGGATGAGTTCGGCTAAGCGGATGAGGGTGTCAGTGGAGGTGGACTGGTCGGGCCTGCGGGACAGGAAGAAGCGGAGGGCCTTTAGGCCATCTGTATGGGGAATGCAGGTGTATAGGGACTGGACGTCCATGGTAAAGATGAGGTGTTGGGGACCGGGGAATTGGAAGTTCTGGAGGAGGTGGAGGGTGTGGGTGGTGTCACGGACGTAGGTAGGGAGTTCCTGGACCAAGGGGGAGAAAATGGAGTCCAGCTCGGTGGAGATAAGTTCGGTGGAGCAGGAGCAGGCGGAGACAATGGGTCGACCAGTGCAGTCAGGTTTGTGGATTTTGGGAAGGAGATAGAAGCGGGTGGTGCGGGGTTGGGGAACGATGAGGTTGGAGGCTGTGGGTGGGAAGTCACCTGAAGTGATGAGGTTGTGGATGGTTTGGGAGATGATGGTTTGGTGGTCGGGGGTGGGGTCATGATCAAGGGGGCAGTAGGAGGAGGTGTCGGAGAGTTGGCGTCTGGCCTCGGCGATGTAGATGTCAGTGCGCCATACTACAACTGCGCCTCCCTTGTCCGCGGGTTTTACGGTGAGGTTGGGATTGGAGCGGAGGGAGCGGAGAGCTGCATGTTCTGTGGGAGAGAGGTTGGAGTGGGTGAGAGGGGTGGAGAGGTTGAGGCAATTGATGTCACGACGGCAGTTGGAGATGAAGAGGTCGAGGGAGGGTAGGAGGCCTTGGGGTGGTGTCCAGGAGGAGGGGGTGTGTTGGAGGCAGGAGAAGGGGTCAGTAGAGGGAGGGTTAGGCTCACAGTTGAAGAAGTAAGTGCGGAGTCGGAGGCGTCGGAAAAACTGCTCTATGTCCAAACGTGACCAGTATTCGTTGATGTGTGGGTGGAGGGGAACAAGGTTGAGCCCTTTACTGAGGACTGACCGTTCATCCTCAGTGAGGGGCAGGTCTGGGGGGATGGTGAAGACTCGGCAGGGCTGGGTGCTGCTGTCTCCTCTGGAGCTGCTGGTTGTGGAGGCGGTGGGCGGAGCGATGTCGGCATTGGCTGTGGGCGGAGTTGCGTCGGCTGTGGGCGGAGTTGCATCGGCTGTGGGCGGAGTTGCATCGGCATTGGCGGTGGGCGGAGTTGCGTCGGCGGTGGGCGGAGCGAGGTAGGAGGCAGCAGCAGCGGTGACGGTAGGTGCGTCCTCAGTGCCTATGGTGTTGGCCTCGGAAATGGAGGCGGTGGCATCAGCAGCGATGTCGATGGCGTTCGCTGTCCCAGAAGTGGTGTACCCGGCGGCGGAGGATGTGACGTCATCCGTGGTTGCTCCAACAGTGGCCACATGGCCACTGGCGGCAGGCACGTTGTGGGGAAGGTCCTGGGTAGGGTTGGGGTTTTGGGAGGTGGAGGAAGCCCATTTTGGGCGGTCGGCACCAGTAAGTTTACTGTACTTAACGGTTTTTTGTGTCCAATAAAGCTCAGTAGAATTGTGAGTTCAGGTTGTGGATCCTACGAAGAATAAAAAACAGAGAGGTCCTTTGCAGGTCTGGGAGAGGGAGGCTCTGAGCTGGGGTAGGCCCCCCAGACCTCCCCCTTACTGAGGATGAACGTCAGTCCTCAGTAAAGGGCTCACCTTTGTCCCCCTCCACCCACACATCAACGAATACCGGTCACATTTAGACATTGAGCAGTTTTTCCGACGCCTCCGCCTCCGCGCTTACTTCTTCAACCGTGAGCCTAACCCTCCCTCTACTGACCCCTTCTCCCACCTCCAACACACCCCCTCCTCCTGGACACCACCCCAAGGCCTCCTACCCTCCCTCGACCTCTTCATCTCCAACTGCCGTCGTGACATCAATTGCCTCAACCTCTCCACCCCTCTCACCCACTCCAACCTCTCTCCCACAGAACATGCAGCTCTCCGCTCCCTCCGCTCCAATCCCAACCTCACCGTAAAACCCGCGGACAAGGGAGGCGCAGTTGTAGTATGGCGCACTGACATCTACATCGCCGAGGCCAGACGCCAACTCTCCGACACCTCCTCCTACTGCCCCCTTGATCATGACCCCACCCCCGACCACCAAACCATCATCTCCCAAACCATCCACAACCTCATCACTTCAGGTGACTTCCCACCCACAGCCTCCAACCTCATCGTTCCCCAACCCCGCACCACCCGCTTCTATCTCCTTCCCAAAATCCACAAACCTGACTGCACTGGTCGACCCATTGTCTCCGCCTGCTCCTGCTCCACCGAACTTATCTCCACCGAGCTGGACTCCATTTTCTCCCCCTTGGTCCAGGAACTCCCTACCTACGTCCGTGACACCACCCACACCCTCCACCTCCTCCAGAACCTCCAATTCCCCGGTCCCCAACACCTCATCTTTACCATGGACGTCCAGTCCCTATACACCTGCATTCCGCATACAGATGGCCTAAAGGCCCTCCGCTTCTTCCTGTCCCGCAGGCCCGACCAGTCCACCTCCACTGACACCCTCATCCGCTTAGCCGAACTCATCCTCACCCTCAACAACTTCTCTTTCAATTCCTCCCACTTCCTACAGACAAAGAGGGTGGCCATGGGTACCCGCATGGGCCCAAGCTATGCCTGCCTCTTTGTAGATTACGTGGAACAATCCCTCTTCCTTACCTACACTGGCCCTAAATCCCACCTCTTCCTCCGTTACATTGATGGCTGTATCGGTGCCGCCTCGTGCTCCCACGAGGAGCTCGAACAGTTCAACCACTTCACCAACACCTTCCACCCCAACCTTAAGTTCACCTGGACCATCTCTAATACCTCTCTCTCCTTCCTGGACCTCTCTGTCTCCATCTCCGGCAACCACCTAGAAACCGATATCCATTTCAAGCCCACTGACTCCCGCAGCTACCTAAAATACACCTCCTCCCACCCACCTTCCTGAAAAAATGCTATCCCCTATTCCCGATTCCTTTGCCTCCGCCGCATCTGCTGCCAGGATGAGGCATTCCACTCCCGTACATCTCAGATGTCCTCGTTTGTCAAGGACCGCAACTCCCCCCCCTCAGTGGTCGAGAACGCCCTCCCGCATTTCCCGCAGCTCATCCCTCACACCCCTTCCCCGTAATAACAACCGAAACAGAAGCCCGCTCGTCCTCACGTACCACCCCACCAACCTCCGGATCCAATGCATCATCCTCCAACACTTCCGCCATCTGCAATCCGACCCCACCACCAAAGACATCTTTCCCTCCCCACCCTTATCTGCTTTTCGGAGGGACCACTCTCTCCGTGACTCCCTTGTCCGCTCCACACTCCCCGGCCCCACCTCACCTGGCACTTTTCCCTGCAACCGCAGGAAGTGCTACACCTGCCCCTACACCTTCCCCTTCACCCCCATCCCAGGCCCCAAGAAGACTTTCCACATCAAGCAGATGTTCACTTGCACATCTGCTAATGTGGTATACTGCATCCGCTGCTCCCGTTGTGGCCTCCTCTACATCGGGGAAACCAAACGGAGGCTTGGGGACCGCTTTGCAGAACACCTACGCTCGGTTCGCAATGAACAACTGCATCTCTCAGTCGCGAACCATTTCAACTCCGCCTCCCGTTCCTCAGACGACATGTCCATCCTGGGCCTCCTGCAGTGCCACAACGATGCTACCCGAAGGTTGCAGGAACAGCAACTCATATTCTGCATGGGAACCCTGCAGCCCAATGGTATCAATGTGGACTTCACAAGCTTCAAAATCTCCCCTCCCCCTACCGCATCCCAAAACCAGCCCAGTTCATCCCTGCCTCCCTAACCTGTCCTTCCTCCCACCTATCCCCTGCTCCCACCTCAAGTCCCACCCCCATCTCCTAACCACATCCCGCCCCCTTGACCTGTCTGTCCTTCCTGGACTGACCTATCCCCTCCCTACCTCCCCACCTACACTCACCTTTACTGGCTCCATCCCCGCCTCTTTGACCGGTCTGTCTCCTCTCCACCTGTCTTCTCCTCTATCCATCTTCTATCCACCTCCCCCTCTCTCCCTATTTATCTCAGAACCCCCTTCCCCTCCCCCATTTCTGAAGAAGGGTCTAGGCCCGAAATGTCACCTTCCTGCTCCTCTGATGCTGCTTGGCCTGCTGTGTTAATCCAGCTCTACACCTTGTTATCTCAGATTCTCCAGCATGTGCAGTTCCTACTACCTCTGCTCTCATACCATTCCTGGATATGCCACAACGCATTGGAACTAGGAATTATTATACCTCCATCCCATCTAGCAGCTTTGATAATGTCTATAGATTAAAAACTCACAACCAAACAATGTCAAACTGATTGTTAAATTGTCTATCTCAGAGACACCATGAGAATGATTACAGCATCTAATGGGGTCACAAGTATTCCTTTGAGCTCTTGGATCAGGCAGCAAACTGCTGAGCTTGAACAACGGAATAAATAAATATGAAGTTAATAAATAGGAACTGATGGTTAATAGGTGGCTGTAGGATGATAAGGATCGGATTCTGAATATTGTGGGGTATATGAAATTGAAGAAACTAGGAAACTAGGTCAAGATGGAAGGATAGGACTGTTAATCCTGAATGGGATTAGTGCAATAGTTAGAGAGGACATTGATTCAGATGATCAGGATGTAGAATAGGTTTGGGTGGACATGAGTAATAGTAGGGGAAGGAAATCACTATTGGGAATGTCTGCAGGCCGTCTAACTGCAAACACAATGTGGGGAAAGTTATGCAAGAAGAAATCATGAGTGCTTGCAATAAAGAGACGGTTATGATCATGGGTGACTTTAATCTACATCTAAACATGAAAAGTCAAACTGGCAGTAGTGGCCTGGATGAAAAGTTTGTACAATGCTTTCAGGATAGTTTCCAACAGCAGCACATTTTGGAATTGACCAGACGGCAGGATATATTAGACTGGATCTCAGAATAAAGGCATACCTATGTAATAGTGACCACAATACTACTGAATTTATGTCGAGTTTGAAAGGGAGAAGAACTTGATCTGAGACTAGTGTTTTAAATCTAAATAAAAGCAATTATATGAGCATGAAAGCTGAGGTGGCTGAAGGAAACTAGCATACTAGGCTGTGGAACAGATCAATAGAGATGCAGTAGCAGACATTTAAGGGAATAATTCAGCATGCTCTTTAAGTATATTCCAACTATAAAGAAAAATTCTAAAGGGAGGACCCATCATCCCTGATTAACTAAAGAAGTTAGGGAAGCAACAAACTTAAGTAAAAAGCATATAAATGTATAAAGATTATTGATCAGAATTACAAAACACCAGAGAATGACAAAAAGGTTAATCAGAAGGAAGAAATTAGAATAGCAGAAGAAGCTAGCTAGAAATGTAAAAACAGATTGCAACAGTTTCTACAGGTATATAAAAAAAGTAAAAAGTAAAGTGAGCGTTGGTCGTCTAGACCATTCTTCAGTGAGAATGGGGAGTTTATAGTAAATAAGGAAATGGCTGAGGAACTGAAGAAATATTTAGCTTCCATCTTCACAATAGAGGACACAAAAATATTCCAGTACAGCCGTAAATCAGGAGATGGAGCAGGTTGGAGGGGCCAAATGTTCTACTTCACCTACTTTGAATTGTTTGTATGTGGTATGATTCCATTAAATATCAACACTTCCAAAACATTGGCAATACATACGGACATCTTGTGATGGTACATGGACTACTTGGTTGAAAAACTACGTCATATGCACCTATTAAGTTTATATTTTAAATTCCTCACCTGTAATGGTACATCATCCTTGAACCACTGAACAATGGGAGGTGGATCAGCTTCAAACTTGCATTCCAGTGTTAACTGCTCTTCAGCCAACAGAGTAATCATCTGAGCATCATTGGAGCCAATGATATTTGGAGGAACTATATTTAAGCAGATAGATACACAACTGAGATACTGAGCATGTGATCAAGTAGTAAATTGGAAGTAGATCAAATTGAAATAGAAAATGCAAATATCAAATTGGGGATATAGATGGACTGAGTTGGTAATTTACAAAGGGATACAAAGGTTATGGAGACATGAAGATAACCTTAGAAACCATGATTGGGCAGATTGAACCAGCTATAAAGTGACAAATGGCCTTTATTTGTTCCACAGTTACTGGTACTGATGCTTGAACCACTCCTCTGATACAGAGTAAAAGGACTGTCATTTTTATCATTGTGAAAAATGCTAGATATTATCGACTTAGTGATAGGACCATTATTTGATTACATTTTTGCCATTCATAGTGTGAAGGACAAAGGTCCTTCAGAGTACTGGAGTTTAAAATCACAAGGAAAGCAGACTCCATCACTACAGACATGAATAAGGGCTAAAGCAAACGTGAGGATACAGGAAAGGTCATTTATAATGAGAAAAGCATGGAAGAGAAATGTTTAAATACATAACCATACCATTTATTCCGACTAAATATTGCAGCTGATCCTCACCAGCCAGATTTGTTGCTAGACAGGTATACAGTCCAGCGTCTTCTACCTACAATAAACCATAGTGCAGACATTATGTCCAATAATATAGCAGTAATATATCCCAAATTAAAAGAGAAGTGATGTAATTGTTAGCAGCTTTAGATGCTTTTAAATCTAGGTTTTTTGCCCTCTCTTCAGCTACAGAATAAATCAATCAGTAGTTATTTTCTGTTTTCAGACTGGGTCACATAGAGATCAAACAGAAATTCCACATCAGTGATCCAGTGCCTGATTTTAAATTCTTTCCCTGTGGGGGACACATGTTTGTAGGATAGGCAACAGGATCTGCCCGCCTGCCTATCGTAATGTGAGCTGCAGAATCTTGGTTCACAGATATATGTCCAAGACCACAGCTTATCTCAAGACAACACAATGAATGACAGGATCAGCTTTTTGTAGGGTGTGTTAGGTTATGCAGAATGTTTCCTTCCTTCCTTGTGAATGCTGTACAGAAGCCTGCAGGACCAATGCTCCTTTTGATCAATCAGTTCATTCCTGCTGGGTAATGATCCTCATAGAGACTATGACTTTTAAAAAGAGATTTGAATTCCTAGTGACTATTTTACCAAAGAATCGCACAACAAGATTTAAAGTTTTAAGAATTATTGTAACTAATAAAACTAAAATTAACATTGATGCAACATTACTTAAAAGCAACCAATACTTTAAAATTACTGAAAATACATCCTTATTAGCACGTTAACACAATCAAAAAACCCATGCTGCAATATACTTGACAACATGCTCTCCACAGAATGTCAGTCTTTACAGGAGACAGTCCACAGTTACTATCACTTTCCAATGGGCTTACTTCTCTCTATTATTCTGCCATTATTTCCAGTGCCATTGAAAACCTTCATTTCCCCTGGCCTTCTGAGAATTTCTGAAGTGACTTCCAGCAGCATGGCTTAACCGGAGATTCCTTCCACCTGATCTGGCCAGGCCAAATCCACCATTGCCCTTAAATTTCCACAGGTTCCAAGTCTTTGAGCAGAGAATGTCTTCCAACCCATGATCTATCCAGTAATTAAAAGAGAAACAGTCTTTTTCCCTCTGCTTTCTCTCAGAAAGATTTTCTCTCTGTCAGGGTATTTTAAAAATCAGACTGCTTGAAAGAATTGACTCTCTCTTTGAGGTCAGATGTGAAACATGGCTCTTGAGTTTTACTCATCCTTGATCTGAGTCCCATGTAACCATCACCCGGCCTAATGGTGGGCAGACTCCAATCCAACTTCACACCATGCCACTTTTCGAGGGCATTCTGTTTTATGTTAAGTTAAAGAGACATTACAAAACATAATCATCTTGTAAAACCTTGCATTTATATTACTAGGTGGTGCCTCCCAACAGGACACAACTCAATCGCCCAACATTTCACTGGAGCATTCTGTGCTCTGATTTCATCTTCAGCATCACGTTCACTTCCAAATTTTTTAAAGGGACTTTGTCATCCAAGTAACATAGCAGGCATGTTGACGGTGGCACTGTTGAATTTGTGAGCATACGCTGTTGCTAAACACAAGGGCATGGCCACAGCCTGAGAAATTTAGCTGTCTAGAGCTGGTAGAGATCACTGCCTGCCTTTTGGGAATGTCAGTCCACACACTGCATGAGCGTAAAGTTAGTTATTGCTTAGAGTTCCTCGCACCTCTTGCTGGTTTTACTTTGCAGTCCCTGGCAGGAGGCTTTATTTGACCAGTGTGAGTATTTCTGATACACAATTTTGCTTTGATTCTTTCTTCACACTCCCCCTTACTGACAATTAATGTGTTACGATGACGTAGAGACTGATAACTTTTATGAAGATATTTGAATGCTCAGTGGCCAATTTAAAGAAACTGTACGACAAAACGGGAATTGGAATTACTTTCCACTTGGCTCCAGAAAGAGTTGCAAGCTGTTTGCTCTCCAAGGGCAGGAGGTGACTACAGGATATGCAGGGAGAGCTTCCCAGTGTTGTGCTGGTTCTGTGGTTCTAGTTAAATTCTGGTATGCCCTTAATCACTGCCTTTTATCAGTTTACAGTTGATTAAGTCTGCGGTTGATTTATTTTGCCTTCAGAATGTGTAATATGTGAAGTTGGGGATGGAGTGTGAGATTGACATCATGCAAACATAAAGTCTACTTATGTGACTTCTGAGAATTTGATTAGAAGTCTCTCATACATAAGTAGTCTGCATGTGTCACGACACTCAGTTGACTAAAGAAAAAATAACTATTTATTACTATTGCACAAATCACATTGTTCACATTACCTTGTGCTGTGTTTGAGATGGGAGCTGGGGGGTTGGATTAAATCTCAGTAAGAAGGTTTAACTCAATTCCCACATAAGAGAGAAACTAACCATTGTCCCTTGATGTTGCGGGACTAATCTTTGCACCCTTGTGAGGCGGCTTGGTGGCTCAGTGGTTAGCACTGCTGCCTCACCGCACCAGGGACCCGGGTTTGATTCCACCCTTGGCCAACCATCTGTGTGGAGTTTGCACACTCTCCCCATGTCTGTACGGGTTTCCTCCGGGTGCTCCAGTTTCCTCCCACAGTCCGAAGATATGCAGACCAGGTGGATTGGCCACGCTAAATTTCCCCTAGTGTTCAGGGATGTGTAGATTTGCGGGATGGGTCTGGGTGGGATGCTCCTAGAGTCGGTGTGGACTTGTTGGGTTGAAGCGCCTGTTTCCACACTGTAGGGATTCTATGATGATGTTCAACAGTATTATCATTGATGATTCCACATTATCAACATCCTGAAGGTTACCATTGACTAGAGATTTAATGGGACCAGCTACTGTGACCTCAGGAACAGCTCAGAGGAACAAAGGAATAGGAGTAGGCCATTCAGCCCTTCGAGGCTTTTCCATCATTCAATGAGATCTTGGCTGTTCTGTGGCCTAACTCCTAATAGCTGCTTTTGGCTCATATCCCTTAATACCTTTGCTTAACAAAAAGTTATCTATCGTAGATTTAAAATTAACAACTGATCCAGCATCCACTGCCAGAGGTTGCAAATCCTGCAGCAAGTAACTAACCTCCAGACTGCCCAAAGCCTGTACATCATTTACAAGGCACAAATAAAGAGCATGATGGAATACTGTACACTTGCCTGGATGAATTCACCTCCAACAACACTCAAGAAGTTCAAAGGGACAAATCAGCCCATTTGATTGGTGCTCAATCACATCATCAACAATCACTCTCTCCAAAACTGACACACAATGACAGCTATGTGTACCATTCACAAGAGGCACTGCAGCAACTCACCAAAGCTCTGTTGACAGCACCTTCCAACCTGCAGATACAGAGGAACACCACCACCAGGCAGGTTTTTCTCTAAGACATATCTAGTTTCTCACTTGGAACCATATGCTATTCTTTCACCGTTGCTGTATTAAAATCTGGGGTCTTTTAAACATCACTACCTAAATGTTTGAAAAGAGCTACTGCAGGAAATAAAATTCAATAAACTGAGAAATTATCTACCTGTACACTTTCTATCCTAAGCATCTTTCCGTCATTCAGTATCAAGCCTGCTCCATCAAGAGGCACTCCGTCCTTCATCCAGCTTATTTCAGGATCAGGGACTCCCACTGCTGTGCACGCCAACTCCAGTCGACTACTTAGCACAACAGACAGTTCCTGTGGCATCTCAGAGTCAGAAAGCTGCGGTGGCTCTACAAAGACAAATGGTTTCTGTGAGGGAAAACACTACAAGTTTCCAGTTTCACAATGATTCCTACTGCTATTCTCGAATGTAACAACTTCCATACTTACAGACCTTGATTGTAATAAAACACTAAAGTCATGTAAGAGGCTAAGCGAGGTGAGTTTTAGGGTGTGTCTTAATGGAGGACATGTAGGTAAAATGGCTTAAGAAGGAATTCCAGAGATTAGGGTCCAGGTAGGTGAAAAAGGTCCTCAAATGCTGGAGCAATTAAACATGGGCACATGCAAGAGTTCAGAATACAATTTATCATAGTGTCCTTATATCACAATGGTAACAAACCATGGTGATGAGCTCTACCAACAAGTAAAAGTACATACATGTGTGTAAATTGCCCAACAGTCTGTGTTCAAAACTCAAAATGGATGCAGTCACCACAAATGGGAATGGGATTGACATTGTCAACTGAACTGTGCTAATATAACAGCAGTTTAGTTCCATTATTGACTGCTCAAGTTCAAGAAACTTTAACAGCCAGAGAAGATATTTTTTTCACATCAATGTCAGGTGGGCAGATGTGAAGGACAATGTGTTACCTTGATGATATCTAGATTTAAAGGGTGCATGGAGTTCCAGGAGGTCACTGTCATGGCAACAGTTGCTAAAATTAAACATGGATGTATAATAATTTGAAATGCAATCTAGCTAAAGATTACAAGTGGAAATAGTCTATTTTACTAATTGTGAGCTCAGACATTTGGGCTTAAAATTAGAGAAAGACTAGCAAATTCCAAAGCACCTTGCATAACCACAGGACATCCTTTACACTTAAAAGTACTTAACTGTTTGTAAGAAATATTCTAATATAAGAAACGTGGTGGGCAATTTGAAGACAGTGAACAGTAACAGAAGATGATGAGGGGGAATCTCACAGAAACCTATAAAATTCTAACAGGACTAGACTGGGTAAATATAGGAAGGATGTTCCCAATGACCGGGGTGTTCAGAGCCAGCTGTCATGATCGAAGGATACCGATTAGGCCATTTAGGACTGAGATGAGGAAAATCTCTTTACCTAAAGAGTGATGGGCCTGTGGAATTCTCTGGCACAGAAAGCTGTTGAGGCCAAAACATTGAATCAGAGATAGTAGGAACTGCAGATGCTGGAGAATCCGAGACAACAAGGTGCAGGGCTGGATGAACACAGCAGGCCAAGCAGCATCATAGGAGCAGAGAGGCTGACGTTTCGGGCCTAGACCCTTCTTCAGAAAAGGGGGAGGGGAAGGGGGTTCTGAAATAAATAGGGAGAGAGTGGGAGGCGGATAGAAGAGGGATAGAGGAGAGGATAGGTGGAGAGGAAACAGACAGGTCGAAGAGGCGGGAATGGAGCCAGTAAATGTGAGTGTAGGTGGGGAGTTAGGGAGGGGATAGGTCAGTCCAGGGAGCACGGACAGGTCAAGGGGGCGGGATGAGGTTGGTCGATAGGAGATGGAGGTGCGGCTTGAGGTGGGAGGAGGGGATAGGTGGGAGGAAGAACAGGTTAGGGAGGCAGGGACGAGCTGGACTGGTTTTGGGATGCGGTAGGGGGAGGGGAGATTTTGAAACTTGTGAAATCCACATTGATACCATTGGGCTGCAGGGTTCCCAAGCGGAATATGAGTTGCTGTTCCTGCAACCTTTGGGTGGCATCGTTGTGGCACTGCAGGAGGCCCAGGATGGACATGTCATCTGAGGAATGGGAGGGGGAGTTGAAATGGCTCGCGACTGGGAGATGCAGTTGTTTATTGCGAACCGAGCGTAGGTGTTCTGCAAAGCGGTCCCCGAGCCTCCGCTTGGTTTCCCCGATGTAGAGGAAGCCACACCGGGTACAGCGGATGCAGTATACCACATTGGCAGATGTGCAGGTGAACATCTGCTTGATGTGGAAAGTCTTCTTGGGGCCTGCGAAGGGGGTGAGGGTGAAGGTATGGGGGCAGGTGTAGCATTTCCTGCGGTTGCAGGGAAAAGTGCCGGGTGTGGTGGAGCTGGAGGGGAGTGTGGAGCGGACAAGGGAGTCACAGAGAGAGTGGTCCCTCCGGAAAGCAGATAAGGGTGGGGAGGGAAAGATATCTTTGGTGGTGGGGTCGGATTGCAGATGGCGGAAGTGTCGGAGGATGATGCATTGGATCCGGAGGTTGGTGGGATGGTACGTGAGGACGAGGGGGATTCTTTTTTGGTTCTTATTGCGTGGACGGGGTGTGAGGGATGAGTTGCGGGAGATGTGGGAGACATGGTTGAGGGCGTTCTCGACCACCGAGGGGGGGAAGTTACGGTCCTTGAAAAATGAGGACAACTGAGATGTACGGGAGTGGAATGCCTCATCCTGGGAGCAGATGCGGCGGAGGCGAAGGAATTGGGAATGGGGATAGCATTTTTGCAGGAAGGTGGGTGGGAGGAGGAGTATTCTAGGTAGCTGTGGGAGTCGGTGGGCTTGAAATGAATATCGGTTTCTAGGTGGTTGCCCGATATGGAGACAGAGAGGTCCAGGAAGGGGAGAGAGGTGTTAGAGATGGTCCAGGTAAAATTAAGGTTGGGGTGGAAGGGCCAAAACATTGACTGTTTCTAAGAAAAATCAGATATACTTATTAGTGCTAAAGGATCAAGGGAAAATGGGTGACAATGGGAACAGGGTACTGAGACAGATCACGTTGAATGGTGTACTTCTGTTCCTATTTTCTCTATTTCTTTGTCCAGATCATTTGCTTTTGTGATGTTGATTGAGTGATAAGGATCAGGACAACGTTGGTACTCTTCTCTGTTTTTCTTTGAAATGTTGATGCAAAATCTTTCATATTCATGTGAAAGGGCAGATGGAGCCTCAGTTTAACACAATGCCTGAAAGACAGCACATCCAACAGTGCAGCCCTTTTCCAATACTTCACTGGAGTGTCAGCTTTGATTTTTGTATTCAAGTCTAGAATGGGACTTGAAGCTAGAACTTTCTGATTCAGGAGAGAATGTTACCCACCCTGCCACAGCTGCCTCTAGAGTACGAAATTGCATGAGGATTGATTTAGTGAGAGTTACTCCCTCTGCTGTGTCTCATCACATTCTGATTAGTTAAAACGAGAGAGGAAATGCAGAGACATGGTCATACTGTATGTTGATGTGTTCAACAATGAAGGACATAGTTTCAGTTCTGCTCCTCTTTTCTAGATGTTATTGAATTATTGTACAAGAGGTAAAGTTTCATTTCATATTGCCATGGAAAAATTGGGATGGGGTATAATTGTCTTTTCTGATCACTTTTATAATTTGAAATGACACAAGTAAAGACATAGAAGAGAGGTATTCACTACCACTCATTGGCTTGGTTGATTAATCAGAAGAGATCAAAACCAAAGGTGAGAGAGAAATATGCTTTAAGAGGAAAGGATGCATGTTGATCTAATGAGAAAAGGGGACATGTAGAGCTACATATGTTTCCAGATTGTCAATTGGATCAGATGATAAGTTTCCTTTTGAGATTTTGTCCATTCTCAAATTCATGTGCACATTTCACTCACCCATGACGACCAAGTTGAAGTGTCTTGTGGCTTTGCCTGCTTCATTCACAGCAATGCAGGAATACCATCCAGAGTCACTCATGTCAACAGAGGATAACTGCAGCTTCTTCTCATGACTCCTGGGAATCAGGTCATTGAGCACTAGCAGTTCACCATCTTTTAACCAGGATAACACAGGGGGTGGGATTCCACTAGCATCGCATGTGAAAGACACAGAAGCGCCTCTAATGACCATCATCTTCTCAGAGTCTCCGGGATTGTCAAATCTGGGTGGAACTGGGAAGGGGATTTGGGAACAAAGAATCACAAAGCGGTTATAGCACAGAAGGAAGCCATTTGGCCTGTCATGTCTGTTCCAGCTCTCCAAATGAACATTGCACTATGTGCCACTACCCTGCCTTAGCCCTGTAATTCTGCATATTGTTCATTTTTAGATAATCAAATTCTCTCTTGAATGCCTCAATTGAGCCTGCATCAACCACACTCTCAGGCAGCACACTCCAGAACTGAACCACCTAATGCTTGTAAGGTTCTCTTCAAAACTTCATTGCTTCCTTGGTTAATTACCCTAAATCTGTGTCCTCTCATCTTCACTCCTTCCAAATAGCAAGAGTTTTTTTCCCTCTTTACCCTATCCAGTACCTCATGATGTTGAACACCTCCATTAAATGCATTCTTAATCTTATTTTCTTTAAGGAAAACAACTTCGCCAATCTATGTAATTGATGTTCATCATTGGAACTACTCTTGCAAACATAACCTGCAGTAAAGTGTCTGATATACCCTGAATTAGATATCCTTGGCCCTAATTGCCTCTACTCCAAGCACTGCACCATCATCTTCTTTAAGACACAGAGACAGATAATCCTAAGGACCAGAGACAAGCTGTTGCAGCCCCCTTGCCCAGTAACGATTAAGCAGGGAGAGTCCAGGAACTCTTTACAATGTTGTGGCTCCAACTGCCCTCTCAAGTGAATGAATAAAACTCCTTACAGAATTGAAAGAAGTGTGGGGTAGATCTTGGCCAATAATTATCCCTCAGCTAACATCATTAATAGTGATCATCTGGTCATTTTCTCATTGCTGCCTCTGAGGGTTGATGTTAACTGGTCTCTATTCCCAATTATTCTTCACTACACCACATAAGTCAATGTTCTCCAAACTCAATAATGAGAAACACTAGTCTTTTAGCTTACATATCTGTAAACTGCAGGCTTTTAAAACTCATCTCAGTGTTACTTAATTGCAACTACTTGTTATCCTAGCTTCTTCTGGTTGAATCTTAATGGAGATCCGAACAATGAGCCATTGCCCTTACCCCAGCTTTTCCAATAAAGGGAATGTGTGAACATTTAAAAGATCATCCAGAGTTAAAGTGATGTTAAGGATTCTGTGGGTAGGAGTAGGCAGGAAAGTTGATTTGAGGACAGAATTAGACCAGTGATAATCTTACTGAATGGTGGAGTGGGCTCAAAGTGTTGTAATCTTATTCATGTTCTAATGTCTATCATCACCGGAATGGGACAGCAGATTCTCTTGTTAGTCTCTTCTCTAGTAATCCAGTCAAGTAGATGGTCAGTAATAGTGTTGAAATGTGGTTTACCACATTGAATAATATTCTCCTCAGGTTCCTAGCATCACTGGTGCTAGACATCGACCAATATGATTAATTCATTGTGATTTTAAGAAATGGCTGAAGATGTTGGATACTGCAAAGACTATGGGCTCTCATAACATTCCAGCAATAATACTGAAGATTTGTGCTCCAGAATTAGCTGCATGACTAACCAAGTTGCTCAAATACAACTATAACATTGGCAGCTACGCAAAATGTAGAAAAATACCCATGTATATTCTTTGTACAAAAAGCAGAGCAAATTGGAAGGACAAATCAAAAGGTAGATGAATATTTAAATGGAAAGAGACTCCATAATGTGCCGAAGGATATAGTTATTCTTGTACATGAAAAAGAAAATGTTAGCATGCAGATGCAGCATGTAATCAAGAAGGCAAATGAAATTTTGGCTTTCCTACTAAGGGACTGGAGCTTAAATATACCGGAGTTTTGTTCTAATTGTATAGGGTGTTGATAAGCTGCACCTGGACTACTGTGTACAGTTTTGGTTTTCGAGTTTAGAAAGGATATATTGGTATTGGAGGCAGTTCAAAAGAGACTCACCACATTGATTCCTATGACAAAGTGGGTGACTTATTGAGAACAGCTAAACATTAGAGGTTAGAAGAGTAGCTGGTGATTTTATAAAACATACAAGATTTTGAGGGGTTTTTACAGACTAGTTGTTGAGAAGAAGTTTTCACTAGTGGGGAACTCTCAAACTGGGGGACATACAGAACAAGGAGCACTCATTTAAAAATTGAGATACAAAGGAATTTCTTCTTTCAAAGAGTAGCAAGTACCTGCAGTTCCTTACCCCACAGAGTTATGAATGATAGATTGCTCCAAGTATTTAATGAAAGGTAGATAGATTTTTGAAGTATAAGGAGTTAAGGGCTATGAGGAATGGGCATGAAAGAGGAGTTAAGACCTGGGGCAGATCTGCCACAATCTCACAGAAAGGCAGGATAGGACAGAAAGGCTGAATGACCTACTCCTGCTCCTATTGCTTATGTTCTTAAATCCAACACAGCCTATTATCACCCGATTGGTCTACATTTGATCATCAGTAAATTGATGGAAGAGATCATCAACAGTGCCTATCAAGCGCCAGAGGAATAACTTGATCACTGACGTTCAGTTTGATTTATGCTAGAGTCACTGAGCTCCTGATCTAATTACAGCTTTGGTCCAAATGTGGACAAAAGAGCTGAACATCAGGGGTTAGGTGAGAGTGACTGTCATCATGTACCTAAACACCAGGTCTTTCTGTTCTACAACACTACCCAAGGCACTACCTTTAATTGTATAAGTCCTACTCTTATGTGTTTTACCAAACGCAATACCTCACATTTATCCAAATTAAACTCCATCTTTCACTCTTCAGCCTACTGATCCAATTGATCGAGATCTGTTTGTAATCTTAAATATCCTTCTTCAGTGTCCACTATACCACCAAACTTGGTGTCATCTGCAAACTTACTAAACATGCCTTTTATATTCCATCTAAACCATTTATATAAATGACAAACAAAAGTGGACCCAGCACTGATCCCTGTGGAACACAGCTGGTCACAGGCCTCCAGTCCGAAAAACAACCCTCCACCATCACTCTCTTCTGCCGTTAAGCCAATTTTGTATCCAAATGGAAAGCTTACCCTGAATCCCATGTGATCTAACTTCACTAATTAGTCTACACATGGAACCTTGTCAAAGGCTTTACTAAAGTTCGAGTAAACAATGTTTACCACTCTGCCTTTATCAATTTTCTTGGTTACTTATTTTACAAGAGGTGAAGTTTCATTCACATCGCTGTGGAAAAGTTGCGATCGGATGCTATATGGTTGTCTTTGTTGATCAGTTTTGCTGATCGCTAGGTACACCAGCACCTGCAAGCTCCCCTCCAAGCCACTCACCATCCTGATTTGTAAATACATTGCCCTTCCTTCACGTTGCTGGGTTAAAATCCTGAATCCCCTTCCTTACAGAACTTTGCATATCTCTAAACCCCAAGAACTGCAGCAGTTCAAGAAGACAGCTCACTACCATATTCACCAGGGCAATTAGGGACGGATGATAAGTGCTGGCCTTACCAGTGATGGCCATATTCCACGAATGAATAAAAAAGAAACATGAACTGCACAGGGCGGGAGATTTAAACTCAAATTTTCCGCCAGAAAGTTTTGCTCACCTTGGACTTGCAGGTGGTAATGCCGCTCTGTCACGCCTGCCTGACTCACAGCGACACATGTGTAGGTTCCGGTGTCAGAAATCTGAATCTGAGCAATCCTGAGGAACAGATTTCATATAAAACTTGTCTGAGTATATGTAAAAATCTGAAGAAATATTTAAACAAAGACACCAACTTCACAGACGCAAAGACTTCAAGACAATTTCTCAGCCACAACTCATATAAGGATTTACCTCAGGATGTGACCAGCCAATAGCAGCCTCACATGGGATGAGATGGGAAGTGGTAATCCATCCTTTAACCAGGTGAGCTGTGGGGTAGGGGTACCAGCAGCTCTGCATTCAAGTGTAACCGCTGCATTCAGCGCTGCTGTGATGATCTCAGGACTGCTGGAGACCCCGCTGATATTCGGAGGTACTGAGGACAACAGAAAATGAAAAACTGAATTTGGACTTATGGAAAAATAACAGGAAATCTATACAGAAAGCATGTCGGTGCCTGGAGACATAAGCACTTATCCCAGCTGATGTTACAGTGCAGAACTGAAGTATTCCTGGCCAATGTTTACTCCTCAGCCAACATTTTATTATCATTTTAGTGTCACTTGTGGGACTTTGTTCTGTGCAAAATTGGTTGCTGTCTGGAATTAATATGCAAAATGAGTGGGTTGTCTTAGAAGCACAGTTTAGACAGACTGGGCCAGTTTCCACTGGAGATTAGAATGGTGAAGGGTGATTTTATTCAAGTTTACAATATCCTGAATGGCCTTGACAAGGTGAATATTGAAAAGATGTTTACATTTGTGGGGGGAGTCCAGAATTAGGGGACATTATTTTAAAATTAGGAATTTCCCTTCTCTCAGAAGGTTGTCCTACTTTGGAATTCTCTGCTTTAGAAGATGGTGAAGGCAGAGGCATTGGCTATCTTTAAGGAAGAGATAGATTGACTTTCTTGCCTAGCAAAAATCTAAAGTTATCGGGGGTAGATGGCAATGTGGAATTTGGAACATAAACAGATCAGTCATGATCTTATTGAATGCTGGAGCTTGCTTGAAGGGCCAAATGGCCTACCTCTGCTCCTAATATCTATGTTCATAAGCTGCATTTGCTACATTACAACAGTGACTTGCCATTTATACTGTTTCGTGTAATGTACCACAAACAATGAGTAGCATAGGGAAGTTAAAATACAATACAATCAATTGTTCAGAAATGAAAATGTTGACTATGAGAAAAATGGGTGAGTTGGAAATCCCACACAACTGGTTTACCTAACACTCCCATTTATACGTTGGAAAAGTGTTTGGTCTGGATTTTCCTGATTCAGACAGATATTAGGATCCTGGCATTTCCCAATGCCACAATCCTGTCTGTGTACTGGAGGAGTTCATCTGTCCTATTTCCATGTTAGGGAGGCAGACGTGGGTTGAAGATGAGCTCTCCATTTCCGGAGGCAGGGTCATGGCAGCAATGGAGACAGCTGGATGACAAAGCTGACTCGTTAGAAGGGCCACATCCCTTTACTGCAGCATCGGTTCAGTTGTATTTATGGTTGCTAGGTCCCCTGGGCAACAGCCCTCACTCCTGCATACCCTTCATTTCTCTGTGCCACTTTCATGGTCCCCATATCTTCCATGTCCCCTACATCTTCCATATCTGTAGTCATTGTAATGAGGACAGCCAGGTAGATCTCATAGAATATGCACTCCCTGATTAGGGCTGTTAATCTGGTCCAATCAGGGAGCCCTGGCTGACAGATATAAACGGGAGTGTCAGAGGTTCTGTTCCCTCTGACAGCTAGCTCTGAGGAAGCTGGACCAGTGTCAAGGACTTTCCACATGTAAATAAAGGGTGGCTTGGTGATGGGATACCGGCCTCTGTGGAGATAGTTCAATATCCACTCACCAAATAACCATTGAACATAGAACTCATGAGTCATTAAATAAAGGCAAGTTTTTGTAATGCTCATGAAATTAAAGAAACAAAATTATGCATTTAACATTCACTTAGAAACAAGTTTTCCGCATTACAATATCATAAAACTGTCAATCAAACATGGCAAATTAAAGCCCCAATCAATAAATGTTTAATTCACTTAACACCTCTTTATCTTATCCAAATAAATTCACAATCATTGAAAAGCCATTTAAAATAAGATTATTACAAAATCATAAAATGGTCAGAGAATTTGAGCACCAGTCCCCTTTGCAGCAGTATAAATAATCCACGATCTGGCTGAGTCTGTCAATCATTTGGACTTCAGACGAGCATTCACCTTGCAAAATGAATATCTAGCCAATTGTTCAGTCTGTTCCGGTTGATACAATTGCCACATGGCTTCATTACAAATGCTTGACTGAGCTCTTAAAATACTGGAAACTAGGATGAGGGTGGAATGTGATTCCACCTCTCCATTTTTAAGGATCTTCCTTCTCCATTCTGGTACAGATGGAGGTAACAAAATCCAGGCCTTCCAACTGATAAATTTTGCAATGGAGAATAAGCAGTAAGCACTTGAAAGTTTGAATGTTCACTTACTGAGTACATTGAGTATGAACATTTTTGTTTCTTCTCCAGCAGTATTCCATGCCATACAAGTATATCTTCCCATGTCTGAAACCAAAACTCCCTTTATACCCAAGGAACTACCATCTGAGGTCAAACTACAGAATGAGAAGAAAACAAATACCTCATGATCAAATAGACAACCAATATTTCGTATTACCAATTACCTTCATTGAGTCTCACATGAGGCTAGTGAAATAGGTTTCATCATGTGCCCTGGTGCCATCAACCAAATCAATTCCAATTGTCCATGAAATTCAGTCAAAGGGTTTTAGTCCAGACAGCATAGATAGACATTTGGTGGAAGGCTCAGGAACCAAGGGGCAGTGCCTTATGGTGATCAGGGGAAGGGGGAGGCGATGGCCTAGTGGAATTATCGCTGGATTGTTAATCCAGAGATCCAGACAATGTTCTGGGGACCCGGGTTTGAATCCTGCTGCGGCAGATGGTGGAATTTGAATTCGAATCCATTGCTGATTGTTGGAAAAACCCATCCGGTTCACTAATGTCCTTTAGGGAAGGAAACTGCCATCCTTACCTGGTCTGGCCTACCTGTGACTCCAGACCCACAGCAATGTGGTTGACTCTTAACTGCCCTCTGGGCAATTAGGGATGGTCAATAAATGCTGCCTAGTTAGCCACGCTCTCATCCCGTGAATGAATAAAGGAAAAAAAAACAGAAAAAGAACCAAAGGCAATAAATATAAGGAAAAGCTTTCTCACATGCAGTGAATGATTAGAATCTGGAATGTTTCACCTGAGTGTGATAGAGGCAAATTAAATAGTGGCTTTCAAAGTGGGACTGGATAAACACCTAAGGGTAAAAATAGTTTGCAGGGCAATAAAGAACTTGGGGATTGGACTGAGCTTTAACCTCAGGACCATGAACACTCCAACCAAGGAAACGGCCTCTCAGCAAGTACCTTGTCATGTCCTCAAATAATTTTACACATTTCAAAGAGATCACCTTTTATTCTTATAAATGCTAAAGTGTACAGGCCAATTGTACTTAATATATAATCACATCTTGCAAATAATCTTTCAGTGGCGACGTAAAAAGAAATACACACTCACTTGAAGTGTGCTTTTGTCAGTGTTTCTAATGGTTGGCCATCTTTGAACCACTTTAAAATGGGTTTTGGTTCTCCTGTAGCCACACATTCCAATTTCACATCTTCATTCTCCATGGCATCATATTCAGTGGGCACGTTTGAGCCAAGAATGCTCGGTGGCACTGAGAAAGGAATAAAATGAAATGAACAAAAAATTCATAAACATAATCATTATTTGGAAAATGTATATTCTGATTAACATTCGGGGGCCAAGAGGAAATTAGATGGCCTGTGGATTATAAATAGGCAAGTTGAAGATTAAGTGCCTTAGCATGCTTACATACTGTCTTTGCACATGTAAAAGAAAATGAACGGTTGCAATTATACTGCATCCATCGCCTCCTCAAGATGTCTCAAATCGCTTAGTGAATGAGGCATTTTGGAAGTGTAGAGAACTGTTGTAATATAGTAAAGGATTTTGAAGTATTTTTCAACATCAGCTGACAACCCCAAACAATGATAGATAGTGCGAGAAATGGAGGTGATACTTGGGTAAGTAGGAGATGGTTTTCTGAGATTGGTTTCAGCAGTCATTATGACTCATTTGTCATAAAGTTTTATAAAAAGATGGTGTGGAAACATCATAGACATAGAAATCAAAATGAATTGCAACAGGCAAAAATGTGCCATTATTGTACAGGGCAACATAAACACAGCAGGCTACGCAGTATGTCGTGTGGATGTGAATACAGTAAAGACAGTTTGATGATTGCATTGATGTTTTAGCTGTGCATTCTTCATATATTCTGAACAGTTTACAGCCAAAACTTTAACATGCCATTTTTATTTGGCAACCTGCTGTGTATTTCCAACATTCTCCGTTTTTTTATCTCTTTATTTTATTTCAAACTCCTCTTGATAGACCCCACAACATAGAACTCAGTTTTCTACAGTGTCAGTCATAACTCAGTGGGTAGCACTTGTGCCACTAAGTAAAGAATACGAGTTGAATTCTTACTTTACAGGCTGAAGAACAAAATCTAGACTGACACTTGTTGTGATAGTGGTAAATACGAACAATCACATTTTAACTTACATCATCTGATAGTTAACTTGAGACAATTAATGGACTAAAATGATTTTTAAAAATGAAGAAACATGGACTAAAATGGCTGCACTGATCACCTGGCCACAAATTGAGACAAGCGGCATGAGACTTATAAGTAATAAATTAAATCATGTGCCTTGAATAACCATTTTTTCTAAAAACATTGAAGGCAGGAAAATCAATCAAGAAAAAAATTTGCATCTCCCGTTTGCCTCACAAGTATATAAAATTTTTATACATTGAGAGGTTAAAGGCTCACAGCTTTTCCAAATTGGCTAACTAACAATGAAGTTAGACTTTGGAATAACATTTCTACAGCTTTGAGCAGCACAGAAGAAAAAGGAACATGAATTCATATCAGCAGTATAGAAGGCTTGTTCTCTGTCTCCCCACGTGGCTTTCTCATTATCTCAGAAAAACAGTGCTAGGTGAAAAAGCAAATTGGGAAAACAACCATTCACAGAGAGCTCAAGATATCTCCATACTCTGCGACTGCTTCAGATACGAAAATCAAGAATTAATCAACTTCAGCTTTAGATGTAAAATCCGACAATTCAGAGATTCTAAGGACTTCTAAACTATGTAGTTTCACTTCTGCCTGTCAGCACAAGACATTTTCCCCTGGTACTTGCCATGATGCCCATTGTGAGAGCTTGCTGTCCACAAATTAGCTGCTGTGTTTCCCATATTACAACAGCAACAACGTTTCAAATATACCTCATTAGCTTTAAAATACTTTAAGATGTCATAAGAAATGAACTGTGCTTTTAAAATTCAAGTCTTTCTTGCTGTTATTTTTGCATTATGGTTATCAGCTAACTCAGTAAAAGTTGAAAGTTCAATTTACCTTGAATGAAGAGTAAGAAATGTTTATAAACTTCTCCCTCAGAATTCCTTGCCAAGCAGGAGTAATTCCCGGAATGGAAAATCTGTAACTGGATAGTTTGAAGTCTACTACCACTGGATAAGATATGCCAATCCTGGCTGTTGCTACTGTCTGTTAAAACAATTTTATTATGATTTATTTTTCTGCAAAGTAATATTCCTGCAAGTAACAAGTGCTAGGCAATGACCATCAACTAAGAGAGATTAGCTAACCATCTCCTTGACATCCAATGACATTACCTTTGCTGAATCCCACACTATCCCACACTCTGTGCGTTAACAATGACCAGAAACTGAACTGGACATCCATAAAAATACGTTGTCTACAAAAGCAGGTCAGAGACTTGCATGACAACAGTGACTACACTTTGAAAAGTACTTCATTGTCTTTAAAAGACATTGAAATGTATGGTACACATAAAAGGCCATCTACAAATGCAAGTGTTTTTACTTTACATCAAGGTTTATTCAACTATGGGCAATAGTGTAGGAACCATTATGTCACATGAAGGACACCATTCACCGTGTTTTGGTTGTGCTGGCTGTGCTAAAACCCATGCTCCAGGTCAATGACCATTTTATTATTATTTTATCCACAATTCTGTGACTTCCTCACCTTCAACTCCCTTTCCAAGATTATCTGCAGAATTAGCTTCCACCACCTTTTCTGCCAAAGTGTTTCTGAAAATGACAACACTCAGTGAAAGAATGAGCTAACTTTTGTGGTGCAGAGGGAGCTTACTCCTTGCCACGGTCTCCTTTTTTACCCTCCCTCCCCAACCCCAGAACAAATGTCAGATACCAGTTGCCCAATGTTAAACAAGCTGTCTTCGCACAATAACACTCCGGGATCATAACAGATCAGGGGCTAGGAATCCTGCAGCAAATAATTTAACTTGTGATTCACCAGAATCTTTCCACCATCTTCAAGGCAGAATTCAGGAGTGTGATGGAATACTCTGCACTTGCCTGGATGAGTGCAACTCCAACAACATTCAAGAAGCCTAACACCATCCAGGACAAAGCAGCTAATTTGGCACCACATTCACAAACATTCACTCCCTTCATCACCAATGCCTCAGTATTAGCAGTGTTTACCATCTATAAGATGTCCTGCAGAAATTTACCAGGACTCCTTACAGATTGCCTTCCATATCCACAAGCATTACAATCTACAAGGAGAAGGACAGTATGTACATGGGATTACTAGCACTGCAAGTTCAAGCTTCAAGCTAATCACAATCCTGACTTGATAAAATATTACCGGTCCATCAGTGTCACTTGGTCAAAACCCTGAAATACCCTCCTAATGGCATTGTGGGTCTACCTACTCCAAATAGACTGTGGTGTTCTATCAAAGCATCTAATAATCTGGAAAATTTCCATGAGGTCAACTTTCTTGTTTCATTTTTCATGGGATGTGGGCATCACTGGCTGGCCAGCATTTACCACCCATCCCTAGCTGCCCTTGAAAAGGTGGTGTGGTGAGCTGCCTACTTGACCCACAATACCCTTAGGGAGGGGATTCCAGAATTTTGACAAAGCAGCAGTGAAAGAACGGCGAAATATTTCCAGGACGGTGAGTGGCTTTGAGGGGAACTTACAGGTGGTGCCATTCCCATCTATATGTTTTCCTTGTGCTTCTAGATGGAAACGTTTGTGGGTTTGGAATGTGCTGTTAAGGAGCTTGGGTGAGTTTCTACTGTGCATCTTGGGTTACATACATCTGGATGGAGATCACTGCAATGGCTTTAGCCTTATATTCTGCACTGATGTGATGGCCTCTTCCAGCTTTGAGGATGGGGATATTGCTGGAGCCTCCTCCTCCAATGAGTTGTTTAAATGTATGCTACCACTCATGACTGGATGTGGCAGGAATGCAGAGGTTAGATCTGATCTGTAGTAGACAGATGCACCCTGCTGGTGGCAGATTGGCCAGGATGATGTCAAGTATATTATACCCTCTTGTTGGTTCCCTAGATTAATTCCAGGTGGTCTGTCCGATCTCATTTCTTTGTTGAGACTTCGTAGATATTGATACAAGTGAGTGGCTTGGTATATCATTTCAGAAGACAGTTGAGAGTTAATCACATTGTTGCGTGTCTGGAGTCATGTAGGCCAGACAATCATTTTATGGTCGTCAGTAGGTTTTTAATTCTGGACTTTTTTTATTGAATTCAAAATCCACCCAGGTTCGCTGCACATTAGCTGAGTTTCTGGATTAATGGTCTAGCGAGAAGTCCATTAGGCCATCGCCTCCCCATGTTCTATGGAGAATATCTCCAACTGTTTCAACCTGTCATAAGTTTCTCATTCTTGGTAACATTCTGATTTGGAAGTCTCTTCCTCAAAAGGCGCTGGAAGCAGTCTTCAAATATTTTTAAGGCAGAGATGAATAGATTCTTGATAAATGACAGGCAAAAGGATATTGTGGTAGGCAAGAACGCTGAGTAATCATCTATGATCTTACTGACTGATGCAGCTTGCTTGAAGGACCGAAGGACAAACTCATGCTCCTAATTTGTAAGTTCAAATATGTCATACAATAAGTTTCTGTATTCGGTTTCCAAAGTTTTACAGATTGACTTAGAGTGGTGACCCAGAATGATCCACAATAATCAAAGTGAATGCTTTTCCATTCTATTGCTCTATTTATAAACCAAATAACTTTATGCTATTTTTTTACCACTTCTTATCTACTCGCATGTACTTTTAAGAATTTGTCTATACAGATTCCAAGAGTATGACTTCATGGAAAACCTGACCACTTATCCATTTTTTATTCAGTAATGTGCCATCTAGTTCAGCAACATTTCACATTTTAAACAAACAGAAGTTAATTATCACCTAGAAAAGATACCACAGAAATATGCTTTCAGCATAATTTTTCTCTTTTGATGTTTTTATTCCATACAAGTCTTTTACCATTCCATTCACCCCATCTCAGCCCTTCATCAACTCTATCTATTACATTTTCTCTCATGTGCTCATCTAGTTTCCTTCCAAAAGCATCCACGCTATTTCTCTCAACCACTTCCTGCAATGGCGAGTTCCACAGTTTAACCAAATCAGTTACCATGCTGACCACACCCAGTCCTACCTAATGGTTCTCCATCTTTGAGCCAAGTGATCGTGGGTGGTGGAACTCCCAATGCCTGGCATGATAGGACACAGGGGCTGCCAGCTGTCTGATTTATAACCTCCTCTAAAGGCTCTTCAAAAGTTGGTGGGGCTGAAGAAAAGGAAGAAGAAACATTGATATAAAAATAAAGAATGACTGTAAACAACTTGCTACTTTTTCCAATTTTAATAGCTTAGGGGGCTATTAATCATTGGGTAAGCATATTTCCCACTCATTCTGCTCCACCAGTCCTTTAAAAATTCAAAGATGTCTTGATGGCACTGGGATCATAAGACAACCTCTGGGATTTTTACCACTTCCAGGGCAGGTAATGTATTAATGGTGTTTTCACTGGACTGTTAATCTAGAGACCCAGATATTGTTCTGGGGACCCGGGTTCAAATCCCGCCACGGCAGATGGTGGAATTTGAATTCAACAAAATATCTGGAATTAAGAATCTACTGATGACCATGAACCCATTGTTGATTGTCAGAAAAACCCATCTGGTTCACTAATGTCCTTTAGGGAAGGAAACTGCCATCCTTACCTGGTCTGGCCAACATGTGATTCCAGACCCACAGCAATGCGGTTGACTCTGATCTGCCCTATGGACAATTAGGGATGGGCAATGAATGTTGCCTAGCCAGCGACACCCTCATCCCGTTAATGAATAAAGACAAAAAAATTGAAAACTGGCCTACACTGGGTCCGAACTTGGTAAACCTTTGAAAATCCAAGCTATGATTTCTGTCCTACAGAAGATGAGGCAATGGCCTAGTGGTATTATCACTAAACTATTAATCCAGAAACCCAGCTGATGATCTGGAGACTCGGGTCTGAATCCCACCATGGCAGATAATGGAATTTAAATTCAATTAAAAAATCTGGAATTAAGGGTCTAATGATGACCATGAAACTATTGCCGATTGTTGGGGAAAGAATCCATCTGGTTCACTAATATCCTATAGGGAAGGAAAATTGTAATCTTTACCTTGTCTGGCCTGCATGTGACTCCTAACCCACAGCAATGTGGGTTGACTCTTAACTGCCCTCTGGGCAATTAGGGATGGGCCTAGCCAGAGCTGCCCACATCTTGTGAGTGAATTTTAAAAAAACCCAAGGTGAGCTTTAGGTGGGTTAGTGGCCAAGCAAGTGCTGCCACGTGCTTCAGGATCCTCAGAGTATTTTAACATTGCCTGGTACAGGACGGAAGAGGGACTAGAGTGGCAGGAGAGAGGTGAAGTTCACAGCATATCAAATATCACCTGCTGCCTTCCAGGAAAATGACAGAAAGAGTTTTAGGAGAGTTTTGTTAATGGAAAGGGGAACACTCCTGCTGCTAATGGTCCCATATGCCTGGAGATACAGTTCACATTTTTCACCACCTGCTGACCTGCTTCAAAGTCGAATGGAAAGCACTATAACTTTCCCTGCTCATATCTTTGTTAAAATGACATCGCAGGCCATTTGAGTTTAGCTGACACCTCATATGTTACTGAAAACCAGCAGCATTATTATAAATGCTTAACTTGTGTCACTTCATTTTAATAGCTCACCTCCTCCATTCCTGGTGAGCAGGGAGAACTAAAATTCTACCCAGGAAGCTAACAGTCTGGAAAACCCAATTCCAACATTTGAGTGCAACCTCAAGAAAAGCATATTGGTGAACCACTGTCTTAACAGAATAGAAGCACTCAATGAGAAAAGGCCTTTAAGACCATATGCAGGTACAATCCTTTAAACCAAGGGCTCTACCCCAGTCATAGAATCTCCTGAAGGCAAGATTTGCATTATAACTTCCAAAACAGAGATCCAAAAAAATGTTCAACTAAAATATACTCAAGAAAGAGTTGTCTGAAGTCTAATGTACTTCTCATTCTTACAGTGCACATTCAGCCTGAAGGTCCTTTTCATGTGTCCAGCCAGGTTGGTAACGTTACACATATAGTGCCCAGAATCTGTAACCTAAAATCACACGGAGCAAAAATTAACAGTGCGCAAGCTAACAGAAAGCAATGAGATAGCAAGAACTGCAGATGCACTTCCCACTTCCAACAAACTAAGGGCTAAGGGGGTGGCCATGGGCACCCTCATGGGCCCAAGCTATGCCTGCCTCTTCGTAGGATATGTGGAACAGTCCCTCTTCCGCTGCTACACTGGCACTATCCCCCACCTTTTCCTCCGCTACATTGATGACTGCATCTGCGTCGCCTTGTGCTCCCACGAGGAGCTTGAACAGTTCACCAACTTTACTAACACCTTTCATCCCAACCTCAAATTCACCTGGACCATCTCCGATATCTCCCTCTCCTTCCTTGACCTTTCTGTTTCCATCTCTGATGACCGCCTTGTAACCAACATTTACTTCAAACCCACTGACTCCCACAGCTACCTAGACTACATCTCTTCTCACCCACCTTCCTGCAAGAATATGATCCCCTATTCCCAATCCTCCGCCTCTGCCACATCTGCTCCCAAGATGGGGCGTTCCACTCCTGCACATCCCAGATGTCCTGCTATTTCAAGGACCGTAACATCCCCCCTCCGATGATTGAAAATGCCCTCAAACGCATCTCTTGGGTCTCCCACACCTCTGCCCTCACATCACCTCCCCCCAACAAAACAAAAATAAAGACAGGATCCCCCCTGTCCTCACATATCACCCCACTAACCTCCGCACCCAAAGTATCATTCTCTGTCACTTCTGCCACCTACAATCTGACCCCACAACCAAAGATATATTTCCCTCCCCACCCCTATTTGCCTTTCATAGGGACCGCCCTCTCTGCGACTCCCTTGTCTGCTGCCACACCTGGCATCTTTCCCTGCAACTGCAGGAAGTGTACACCTGCCCCTACACCTCCCCCCTCACCTCCATTCAAGGCAAAAAACAAACCTTCGACATCAGACATGGGTTCACCTGCACATCCATCAACTTGGTCTACTGCATCCACTGCACCCGATGTGGCCTCCTCTACATCGGTGAGACCAAGCGGAGACTCAGAGACCGTTTTGTAGAGCATCTGTGCTCTATATGCGACAAACAACAACAACACCTTCCGGTCGCAAAACATTTTAACTCCCCTTCCTACTCCCTGGGTGACATGTCCATCCTGGGCCTCCTTCAGTGTCACAATGACGCCACCCACAAACTGGAGGAACAGCATCTCACATTCCGCATCGGGACCCTACAGCCCGATGGCCGAAATGTGGATTTTACCAGTTTCAAAATCTCCCCACCCCCGGCTTCATCCCATGACCAACTCTCCCTCTCACCCCCTCCTCCTTGACCTGACACAATCTGTCCATCTTCTCTCCCACCTATCCGTCACTTCCTCCTCACTGACCAATCCCTACCACTGCCTACATGCCCTCACTTGTCACCATCCAACCTACCTTCCCCAGGCCACCTGTCCTGTCTCTCCTTATTTCTGAACTCCCTTTCCCCTCCCCATTTCTGAAGAAGGGTCCCGACCCAAAACGTCAACTTTTCTGTTCCTCTGATGCTGCCTGGCCTGCTGTGTTCCTCCAGCTCCACACTTTGTTATATCTAATAGAAAGCAATGTGTTATTTCATGCTTTGGAAATCAAAAAGAAAATTAAATTGCAATAATATTCTGAAACATGAGATTTGGCGTAGAGAGAAGGAAGCTGAAGGTTAAAGCTAAGCAAAACAGTAACACATTGGATGATAAGATCTTTTTTATATCTTGTTCAGGATGGACAAGAAGTGCTTTGGGTAGAAAAAGAAACTGAGCTTCTTGGAGGTAGTGTCACAGTGCAGGTGATATGGGAGGTCCATTGCAAATCAAAGATCTTTTAGAACGTTGATATGCTGCGCAATCACTGGGGACAGGGGCAAGTAGGGGAATCGCTATGGATGTAGGTATGCATGCATGTTTCCTAGACCATTTTACATCTAGCCATATAAAAGAATTTTAACAAACATGTAGGAAATGAATCACATTTTTCACCTTCCCACCACAAGATGATTGATTGATTATCAATCTGTAAATCTTTACAATATGCAGGTGTAAATGCAGGTTTCCTGGTCAGCCAGAGCTATGTGGTAGCCATAATGCAAAAAGGTTCTTGCCATAACAAGCATCAGCTGCATAGACAAACAGTACAAAGGCTACATAGTAAGATAAGAGCCCATTGTATTGGGAATCTGGATGTTAGGGTAGGTAAAAAAAAAAGTGGCTACCTAATAGAAGACAAAAATTTGAGTTAAGGGGGCCATTTTCAGGTTGGCAACCTGTGCCATAGGCATCAGTGATGAGTCTGCAGTTATTTATATTACATGTTAATGATTTGGATATTTTTATTCATTCGTGGATGTGGGCATTGCTGTTTGAGCTAAATTTATTCCTATCCTTCGTTGCCCTTGAGGAGGTGGTGGTGAGGGGCCTTCTTGAACTGCTGCAGTCCATCTACTATAGGTAGACCTATGATGCCATTGGAAGGAGTTTCAGGATTTTGATCCAGCAAGGCAAGTAAATGTACTATTGCCAAATTTTTAGTCGTGATAGACAGATTTTTAATTAGTAAGGAAACCAAGGGTTATGGGGAAAAGGCAGGAAAGTAGGGTTGAGGATGATGAAATCAGCAATGAATGATGCCCTGAATGATGCAGCAAACTTCATAAGCTAAACAGCCTACTTCTGCTCTAGCATCTTATCGTTACCCAAGCAAATTATAAAGTTAAACTACTGTCAATCTTTGAAATATCAACTATAGGTTTTACCTGAGCATCTTGTATTTGGAGTATTTGACCGTCAGATAGGATATGGGTGCCATTTACCAAGGCCAGAAGGTGATCGTTCTTATACCACAAAATAGTAGGGACTGGTACTGCTTCTGATTCACATCTGAGAGTAGCTGTCTCTCCAGCACGGATTGTGATGGCCTCAGAGTAACTGTCACCATGGTGTTTAATGGAGGGCGGAACTATGGGGGTCAAAATTCAAAAGACATTGATTAGCATATCTAGGAATACTGTACTTTCTGCTGCTGTAAATAGACGCAATGGCTCACAAACCAAATGTAATATTCTAAATTGTTCATGGCACAAGAACTACAAAAGTCTGTCAGGTTATATTTTCGACTAATCACAGTGCTTCCCAGTAAATCAATAGAACATTAATTCATGATAAATTTATACACCACAATCATTAACCTATCACTCATGAATAACATTTAAAAGGCATGAGAACTGTTCAGTATTAAAATGCAGTGTTACCGTCTCTCCATACCAGCATGCTTTATGTTAGGTTTACATCACATTTGGCACGGTCAACTACGCCCACCCTCCACCATATTGGTCCTCTATTGTCCAGCTCTGTGTCCTGATTTGCTCTCACTCTTTTTGATAACAGCTGGAGTATTTCAAAATGATTCACCTTGCCCAGCTCTGCACCATTTTTGCCAAGTTCTCCCAAATAATCACCTTTGACTATATTTTCTTTCTTATCTGAATCGATAGACATGAGGTCAGCTTCCACATGTATGCTTCTCCAGGTATACACTGAGGAGACAGAAGCCATCATTTTTGAACCCAGCTACAAGTCCAAACCCAAGTACACATTCATTTCAAGCCCCTCTTTGGACACTTTCTCAGGCTGAACAAGCTATTTGCAGCCTTAACATCACATTCAATCCCAAGCTGAGCTTACAACTTCATATTCCTCTCCATCACAAAGATTGCCTACTCCACCTCAATGTGTATGCTCATTGGTTTGTTGAGAACATGCCCTTTTACATATTTTCTCCAACTAACTAATATTTTCCTGACTAACATACAATGAGTTGGTTTTGATACTCACCATATATATGGAGGTGAATGTCCTTCACATCTCCCCCTGCTGCATTGGTGGCAACACAAACATAGTTGCCATTGTCTTCTGTCTTTGCTCTGGGAATGTGAAGGATATGACCACCTGGAACAGAAATGAGATCAGGTCAGAGATTATTCAACCATAATCCAAACAAATAGTTAAAATAAATATGGAGTAATTTGTTCTGTTGAGGACTGCACTACAAATAGCAGAACAACAGACACCAAGCTGTTCTCTTTAGGTTAATCAAGAACTCTTTTTAGGTGGAGTTCAGCCTCTACACCTTCCTTGTGTGGATCCAACAAGTCTCATATATTCTGAGTTTCCAAATTCCATGCCTCAACAAATAATGTTGGAATCCCTGTAGCTTTAAAACACTAATACTTAGAGGGAATATTCTTTCTGCCACCTTATCGAGGCACTATCCTGTATTAAGATTCCATGGATACTGATCTGTCACTGTTACTTAATCCAACCAGAACATGAAAGCAGCAGGCATTAATAGGATTTAAACTTGTGAACCATGTAACCAAACCAATTCTGACTTCACCCAGATACCACACCGAGGGCCTGAATGGCCTAAAGCTGGTTCTAATTAGTAGATTTGTAATCACACTTGCATTTTCCAGGATGCTAACTGGTAGCAAGAATCTGGAATTTGCCTCCCTTCTTGCTGATTCCCTGACTGGAATCTGATTGAACTCTGTTATCTTGGCACTAAATAAAACTAAAAAAGCAATAAGGTGGGAGAAGATGAAATATGCAAGTAAGCCACCTAATAATGTCAAAAGACAATTGCAAAAGCTTTTTTTAGCCGTCTGAAAGGTAAGACAGGGGCAAGAGTGGACACTGGACGACTGGAAAATGAGGCTGGAGAAGCAGTAATGGGAAACAAAGAAATGATGGAGGAACTGAATAGATACTTTGCATCGGTTTTTACAGTGGAAGACACCAGCCACATATCAGAACTTCAAGACAGTCAGGCACGAGAGGTGACTGTAGTGGCCATCACCACGGAGAAGTTGCTGGGGAAACTAAAAAGTCTGAAGATGGATAAATCGCCCAGACCGAATGGAGTACACCTCAGAGTTCTGAAGTAGATAGCTGAGGAGATTGTAGAGGAATTGGTGGTGATCTTTCTGGGATCACTGGAGTCAGGGAGGGTCCCAAAGGATAGGAAAATGGCTAACGGAACACCCCTCTTTAAGAAGAGAGGCAGTAGACAGGAAGCTATAAGCTGGTTAGCCTGCGATAGGGTTAGATTTTAGAGTCCATTACTAAGAATTAGATTGCATAGTATTTGGAAGTGCATGGTAAAATAGGGTGCTGTCAGTATGGCTTCATCAAGAGGAGGTCATCATGCCTGATAAATCGGTTGGAATTCTTTGAGAAGGTAACGAGCAAGTTAGACAAAGGAGAGTCAGTGGACATAATCTATTTGGATTTCCAAAAGGACTTGACAACGTGGGAGGCTTCTATGTAAGATAAGAGCCCATGGTGTTAGGGGCAAGGTACCAGCATGACTAGAGAATTGGTTGAATGGCAGAAGGCAGAGAGTAGGGATAAAGGAGTTTTTCAGGATGGTAGTTGGTGACTAGTGGAGTTTAGCAGGGGTCATTGTTGGGACCACAACTATTCACGTTACACGCTAACGATCTGGATGAAAGAACCGAGGGCATTATTGCTAAAATTGCAGATGCCACAAAGATCGGTGGAGGGACAGGTGGTGTTGAGGAAGCGGGAAGTTGCAGAAGGAATTGGATATGATAGGTGAGTGAGCAAAGTGGCAAATGGAATACAATGTGGAAAAGTGTGAGGTTATACATTTTGGTACAAAGAGTAGAGGCGTAGGCCATTTTCTAAATAGAGTAAGGCTTCGGAGATCTGAAGCACAAAGAACTTGGGAGTCCTAGTTCACAATTCTATTAATGTTAACATGCAGCTTCAGTTGGAGTTTAGGAAGGAAAATACAATATTGGCATTCATTTCAAGAGGGCTAGAAAACAAGAACAGAGAAATATTGCTAAGGCTGTACAAGTCTCTGATCAGATCGCATTTGGAATACTGTGAGCAGTTTTGGGCCCTGTATCTAAGAAAAGTGGGTTGGGATCTAGACAAGGTTTGCAAGAATGATCATGGGGATGAATCCTTGTCCTATGGGGAGCAGTTGAGGAATCTGCGAGTTTAGAAGGTTGAGGAGGGGAGATCTGATTGAAACTTACAGGATACTGACAGGATTGGATGTAGATTAGATGTTTCTATGATTAGAAGAGAGTAGGACCAGGGATAAGTCCTCAAAGTGAAGGGACGACCCTTCAGAAAGGAGATGAGGAGGCATTTCTTCCGCCAGAGGGTGGTGACTCTGTGGTACTCACTACCGTAGAGGGCTGTGGATTGAGTAAATTTAAGACAGAGGTAGATAGGTTCATAATGAGTAAGGGGATCAAGGGTTATAAGGAGAAGGCAGGAGAATGGGATTGAGAATCACATCAGCCCTGATTGAATGGCAGAGCAAATGCGATGGGCTAAATGGCCTAATTCTGCTCCTATATCTTGTGGTTCTATGGTCACAAACTGGAAACTGAATGAGTCACTTTGCTGGTCTACATGGTTCAAAATGTCCACTGCATTCACTCACTGAAGAATGGGGAAAGTTCTTATTTTGAATTCACTGCAGGCTTCAATCTAATCCAAGGTTGAATGAGAAAAGAATATATTTGTTCTGATTTCAAACATCTTTAAGTGTAACACCTTCAGGGTCTTTAGTATATCATGAATGGCAATGGAGGGCTCTGGATGATGCCATCACTGGAGAGGTCAAAGGTTGTTTTGCATTTCCATCTCACATTTTCCTTGTCAACTTCTCACCTGGGAGGATCAGCATGTCGGGGTGGGATTGCAGCAACTGTCCATTTTTGTACCATTCGATGTCTGCAGAAGGTACTGCTCGGGATTCACATGTTAACCAAATGGGATTATTCATCACGACACTGACATTTTCTGGAGTGGGGCCCAAAAGCATGGGAGGCACTGTACAAAAAAAAAGCAGAACCAGATGCACGTTGATGCTGATTGATCTCTATTCAAAATCTCAGCACTAAAACTAAGCTGCAACGTCAAATATTTTGTAACTTTAGGATTTCTTCCTTCGCCTTCAGGACAGAATTGTTCAGTAACATAAACATTAATGTAAAATTAGAATTCTATATTTTAGTTTCCTTTCTTTAATGTCGATTTTTTTTCAGAAAGGCAGCAACAGACTAAGTTTGGAAGAGGCAGTGCAATCAACCTTGATCTATGTATGTGAAGGTACAGAAACACATTTGAAGGAACAAGGAGGAAGTGCTTAAAAGAGGGTATCCCCGAGTTGTATTATGAGAAAGAAACAATAAGAAACTGTTGGCGAGTAGAAACTAGAAAGGAGGGTGGCTGAAAGTGATAAAAGATATCCATCAAATGAATTTGCTTTCCATGTAACAGGAGAACTGATCCATTCTGCTCCAAACACCTGGGTCCATTCTATTGCAGTGGGAAGCTCTGACGAAGTCAGAGAATCTAATTAAGTACAATTACAGTAAATCCACACATGAACTGTTCTATTTTGACGTTTTGGCCAGATCTGTTCACTATGCTTCAATGAAATGGCTTGAAGCATTTTCTATGTTAAAGACACTACATTACTTCAAGTATCCAGTGTCGTAATGAAGCACAAGATGTATACTGGGTCCTTAAAATGCAGCAGGGGTCATTACCTTGAACATGAAGGCTGAAAAGCTTCTCTGTGCTTCCTGCTGGATTTTCTGCTAGACAAACGTAGCCAGCTGCATCAGATGCCTGCACCATGTGAATCTACAGGGAAAGGACAACAAGCAGCACGTGATTGAGGTTCAATCCGAAGCCTGACACAATGCAAAATAGGGACTGAGTTTCTGCACAGCTGGAGTACAGTCTACAGATCTGATTCAAACAGGGATAATCTGATACATTGCTGTCCAATTACCATTGAGCTCTCACCTGCAGAAGGCTGCCATTATCCAGAAGTTGGTGTCTGTAGTCTGTTGCAATGGGTAGGCTGTCTCTGAGCCAAGATATGGAAGGTGAAGGATTCCCTGAAGCTTCACAACGCAGTTGAACTGTTTTGTTAACAGTTGATACCAGCTCTTCCCCAAACTCCCCACCTTCTGAATGAATAAATGGAGGGACTATAAAAAGGCAAATAAAAATGAACGTATGCAAAGGGACCTCAACTGTTCACATTTTATATAAATGATTTGTATAAAGATGTGGAAGGTATGGTTGCCAAATTTGCTGATGACAGGAAAGTTAGTTGCGAGGAGGACATAATGAGGCTACGAAGGGATATAGAAAGGTTAACTACAAATGATTATAGAAAGGTTACGTGAGTAGGTAAATATCTGGCAAATAGAGTATAATGTGGGGAAATGTGAAATTGTCCATTTTGGCAGGAATAAAAATCAGATTGTCCAATGACGAGAGGTTTCAGAACTTTGAGATGCAGAAAGATCTGGGTGTCCCAGTGCACAAATCACAAAAAGGCCAATATACAGGTGTAAGATATTACGAAAGTTAACAGAATATCATCATTTATTGTGAGGGCAATTGAACAGAAATAGGGAAGATCATATTTCTGTTATACAGGGCAATGGTGAGACCACATCAGAGTACTGTTTATAGTACTGCTCACCTTATTTAAGAAAGGATATAAATTGCATGAAGTGATTCAGAGAATGTGTACCGACTTATATCTGAAATTAACATGTTGTTTTATGAGGAAAGGTTGGACAGGTTAGGCTTGCATCTGCTGGAGTTCAGGAGAATAAGAGGTGACTTGATTGGACCAAATAAGAACCTGAGGTGCCTCGATAGGGTAGATGTAGACAGACTGTTTATTCTTTTTGGAGACTCTAGTATTTGGGCTCACTGTTTAAAAATAAAGGATCACTCATTTAAAACAGAGGTGAAGTGAATGTTTTTCTCACAGTGTCATGATGTTTGCAACTCTCTTCCTGTAAACGCTGAGAAAGCAGACTTTTGAACATTTTTAAGGCAATGGTGGATCGATTCTCAGTAAGTAAAGAGTTCAAAAGTTAGCGGGACAGGTGGAAATGTAGATTTGCGCTTGCAATCAGATCTGTTAACTTCTTACTAAATTACGAGGCAGGCCTGAGGGATGAATGGCCTACTCCTGTTTCTTGTTCATATGTTCATAAACTCATGATTTCTGCACCACAGACAAAGTAACATCAGGAAAGGGAACAGATATAAAGTGCTTTCCTGGTCCGCAAGCTCAATTGAAACAGCTTGACTTCATTTTAAAGCACAAAAGTGTAAGGCAGCAGAATTGAAACCAAGGAAATCTTCTGCTATATTAAAAATAATCAGGCAAAAAAGTAGTTCCTTACAAATGGTTAAAGTCAGGTATGCATTGCCTGGGAATATGGTGGAGACTGGTTGAACAGAAGCACTTAAAGGGAATAAGATGCTTATTTGAAAAGGAACAATGTGGAACGTTACAAGGAAGATGTGAGGGGATGGCACTAAGTGAATTTTTTATTCAGAGGACCAGAACTAACATGATGAGCTGAAGAGTGGCTTTCTGTGCTTTAACAATTCTGTGATTCTGTGAAATAAATGGAGTTACATGGGGCAAGAATCTGAAGATGGTGGGCTTGTGGGGACAGAAGGTCAGAAGGAAAATTGAAGACTCACCTGTCTGGGTTATGTGATTAAGTCTTGGACTTAAACATAGAACATAGAACATAGAACATTACAGTGCAGTACAGGCCCTTCGGCCCTCGATGTTGTGCCGACCTGTGAAACCAATCTGAAGCCCATCTAACCTAAACTATTCCATTATCATCCATATGTTTATCCAATGACCATTTAAATGCCTTTAAAGTTGGGGAGTCTACTATTTTTGCAGGCAGGGCATTCCACGCCCTTACTACTCTCTGAGTAAAGAACCTACCTCTGACATCTGTCCTATACCTATCACCCCTCAACTTAAAGCTATGTCCCCTCGTGCTAGCCATCACCATCCGAGGAAAAAGGCTCCCACTGTCCACCCTATCTAATCCTCTGATCATCTTGTATGTCTCTATCAAGTCACCTCTTAACCTTCTTCTCTCTAACGAAAACAGCCTCAAGACCCTCAGCCTTTCCTCATAAGACCTTCCCTCCATACCAGGCAACATCCTGGTAAATCTCCTCTGCACCCTTTCCAATGCTTCCACATCCTGCGGTGACCAGAACTGTACGCAATAATCCAAGTGCGGCCGCACCAGAGTTTTGTACAACTGCAACATGACCTCATGGCTCCGAAACTCAATCCCTCTACCAATAAAACCTAACATACTGTACGCCTTCTTAACAACGCTATCAACCTGGGTGGCAATTTTCAGTGATCTATGCACATGGACACCGAGATCTTTCTGCTCATCCACACTACCAAGAATCTTACCATTAGCCCAGTACTCTGTATTCCTGTTACTCCTTCCAAAGTGAATCACCTCACACTTTTCCGCATTAAACTCCATTTGCCACCCCTCAGCCCAGCTCTGCAGCTTATCTATGTCCCTCTGTAACCTGCAACAGTCAAGTTTTTGACTCAAAGCTGAGTCTACTGTTACAGCTGCCCTGCAGATGAGGATAAAAATGAAATGCTGGGAATCTGAAACAAAAGCAGAAATCATTCAAGAACCTCAGCAGGTCTGGCAGCCTGGGTGAAGAGAAAGCAGAGTTAATGTTTTGAGTCCAGTGACCCTTCTTCAGCTTGGATTTGAAACATTAACTTTGCTTTCTCTCCACAGATGCTGCCAGACCTGCTGAGTTTCTGCAGACAATTCTGGTTTTGTTTCCTGCAGACTAAGACTGTTCTATGTATTGAGGAATTAATTATACTTGCTGCTTGATTTGGGACGGTTTCACTTGCTGTGGTTTCGGTTTTGCTTATACACTGAAGATTTTTGGAATTTGTTACCAGTACTATTTCCAAGAGAATGCAGTGTTGTACAACAAAAAAATCAGTTAAAAACTAAGTTGAGAAAACAAGGAGGTACATGAAAATGAGACAGAAGCACACTGGGCAACAAATCAGGAAATACAGAAGCCTTCTGGTGCATGCTCTTGGCTACTTCTGACATACCTAGTTCTTTAATTATCGTATTTAGTGATGACTTAGTGGCATTTTTCCGCTTATTTAGGTTTATTGATCTTGGTCTCCTGCCAATGTGATTTTACATATTTGTCTTCAACCTCTTGAGGTCAGTAGACGTGCTCTCTGTTGCTGCTGTTTTTGGTTGTTGGAGCTCTCGCACAAAGTTTTTTTTCAAAATCTGATATTGTTCAAAAAGGGGAATTATGCACTTCTTAAACAAGAGTCTCAGTGCTGTGCATCTAGTGCCTTGATGGGGTTGTGACTAATCCACAAGTACTCAGAACAGGTAATAAAGAAAGCTCTTTATTCCCACTGACTGAGAGCAATCTTAACCTTGTCTCTCACAAAATGAAAAGAATGCTAAATATACACTCTGTCTGATGTGTTCAATGGACAGTAGACTTAGGCATGCTGTGAATGCAGTCTTCAAACAATGCCACCATTTTTCTGCAAGAAAGTTAGGTTAAAATTACCATTGGTGACTCCAGTAACTTTGTACTCAGTACTCTCTCTCTCTCCGTTTGCAATCTTTTTGATGCAAAGGCTTTCAGAACCACAAGCTAACCATAAAGTTTTAGTGACCTCATCCTTAGACTTATCAACTTTTCTAATCTTACTTTATACTCTGCTTTGCATTTGGGTGTGGTCTGTGATAGGTAACATGAGTGAAATGAGTTATTGATCACTGATGTGCTTGAAAGATGAAAATAATATGTATCCCTTTAAAACTCGCAATACCCCAGATCTCTGCTACTTTGCCCATAATGTTGTCCTGCGAAGCATGTCCCAAATGCAACAAATATGCAGAGAAGTTTAACGGTTCTGTGATCATGACCTGACCCAGGTGAAAATGTAAGGATACAGCTAGCTTACACAGCACTTGTAAACGTCATAGACTGAAACAGACTAATCCCAAGAACATTACTCCTCTTTCCTGGCTTTAACCTGCTGTCTAGAAATTAGCATGTTAAGTATTTTTAAAATGCTCTAAATACATAGTGGAAAGAGAAGAGGGTCAATAAACCACTTTAAACTTGAAAACAAATGAAGGAAATGTTAAATGTTAAATTATAAATTACGTTGTGTAATATATTACACAAATGGGAACTTCACATAAAGAAAGATAGGAATTTTTAAGAAATGCTCTATCGTAAACCATAATTGAAGGAGGGAAAATGTGCAGAAAGGGAACAAGCACAAAGTGGACAATACCTCCTGGTTAAGTTATCAAGTGCAATGAAAGCAGTCTAAGACCATATCACTGAATTATTGAAAACACAACCCCAAAGTCCTCTGCTCACAAGGATAATTGTCTGACACTTGCATATGGTTACTCACTCAGAACGACAAGCTCGTAGTGCAGTTGGTCCTCTCCAACCTCATTGACAGCTCGGCATGTATATCGCCCGGCATCATCAGCTTGCACCCTTGGGATCTGCAGGATATGGCTCCCTATTAAGAGACATTCACAATTTGGTTTAATTTATTCAAGATGTTCTTTTCAAATTAAATACCGTAATTGACCAAAAGTAATGTATGGGGTAAAATAAATTGGTATCAGGGGAACTCCTTGTGGTTCCTTACGCACCTCTGGAGACTTAGGTTTTATAGGCTAAGCTTTGCTAAGGACAATATGTTGAAGATCAATTATTGTGTCGACATGTTTTCACAGAATCCCTACAGTATGGAAACAGGTCATTCAACCTATCAAGTCCACAGACCCACCTCCTTACCCTGTCCCTGTAACCCTGCATTTCCCATGGTTAACCCACCTAGCCTGCACATCCCCGGACACTATGGACAATTTAGTATGGACAATGCACCTAACTTGCACATCTCTGGACTGTGGAGGAAACTGGAGCTCCCAGTGGAAACCACACAGACACAGGGAGAATGTGCAAACTCCACAAAGCCATTTGCCCGAGGCTAGAATTGAACGTGGGTTCCTGGTGTTGTGAGGCAGCAGTGCCACCATTTCTTTCACATTAACAAATTCAGTATAATCTGGAGGCAACGTTCATTTGTGGAACATCCACACCATGACTGGTGGGCTTTAGACATTTAAATTAAAGGTTATTTGGAGAGGTAAGATATCCTTCTAGAGAAGTCAGGTGTCCTTTAGGATTTTAAAAAGTAAGCATAAATCTGTGTAAAAGTGGAATTGGTAGAGTTGTCAAGCTGACAAGACCATTAAAATTCCAATTCTTGTTCGATTTAAGACAACACACAGAATTAGTTAACAGTGCACATCAATCCTTTGGTCTCCCTGGCCTGCAGAGTGGACACAGAAGGCTGTTGTGTTTATCAGCAGAGCTGGTTGGCTATAGTTGAACAATGGTACAGCCTAATCCAATACACATATCACAACACTGTGTTACATGAAGATCATGATTACTCTTGTATGTGAAGAATATCACGCTTTCCCTGTTAATCTTTCTTCTTTCAAGAAGATAATCTAAGAGTAACTGTTTCTTAGTTTCCATCAACTTGGTATTATGATTCAACTTTTTTAAAAAGAATCATTATTTCTTCAGTAGGTGGGTCTCTTGACTCTAGATCAAAATCATGGAACTCCCTCCTTAACTGCATTGTGGGTGTACCTTCACCAAATGGATAATGGCAGTTCAAGAAGGCAGCTCACCAACAGTTTTGCAAGAACAACTAGGGATGGGCAATAAATGCTGGCTCAGTCAGTGACACTCGCATCCTGTGACTGAATTTTAAAATATGTTATATCAGGCACCTCTTAACTGGCACATTCTCCATAAGAGCTGTCACTGTAAACTTTAAGTTGCATAGCTCAAGGCTAATAGTAATCCTATTTTACAGTAACTGCCTTGGAATTCGTATAAGATCCTCATTATATGACCTGTCAATTCAGAGATGGAAAATTTCCCACTTAGGATTTGAATGATTGAAGAAAAAATACATGTAAATGAATAACTTACAATACCAAAAGCATAGGTTGTGCAACATGACTAAGAATTTATAATCGATTCATGTAGCTTATACCCAAAGCTCCTCCTGTTAAACTCCTGACATGATGCAGTCTGTAGCCTAACACATAAGCCACATTCTTAAGCAGCTCTTTTGTGTGTGTGTGTGTTTGCACAATTGTGTCTGTGTGCACATTAGTATGTGTACACACTTGTGTAGTGTTAAGTGTGTCGGTATGTGCAGCCCAGGAGGTTCATATTCCACAGCTAACCACTCAATGGTCCTCTGGTATTACGCATTCAATTGCTCTGAAGGAGGATGGTAAACTTAATTTTTAACAGTATTAACAGCTTAATAGATAATAGCATGAGTGCTCTGCTTAGTCATATACCCCATCTGCTGTTCTGCTACCTAAAAACTCAGATATTATGCTGCATGACAATAACATAGCCTGTCAGCTTCACTGAAATTAAAATGCCTTATGATAGAGACTGGTTGATTAGTGTGGCAGGAAATGGATAGTGCTAGCTGTGCTGCAGAAGGCAGGGTGTCCAAAGAGCATTTTGGATTTCAACAAGGTAAGTGCTACCACTTTCTCAAACCGATATTATGGACTTACCATACACTCCAAACTTAAGACACAAATTCTATTTTTGGCAAATAATGCAAAATTCCACAGTCACTCAACATTTGTTCCTACAATCAGTATCAACCAGTTCAGTCATTTGGGTCAGCTACAGAATAAAGCCTAGAGTCATACAGTCACACAGTATGGAAACAGACCCTTCAGTCCAACTCATCCATGCTGACCAAGTTTCCCAAATTAAACCAGTGCCACTAGCCTGCATTTGGCCAATATCCACTAAACCTTTCCTATTCATGTACTTATCCAAATGTCTTTTTAATGTTGCATCTACCACTTGCTCTGGCATATTAACCACACTTTGTGTGAAAACGTTGCTCCTCAGGTCCCTTACAAATTTTTCTCCTGTCACCTTAAAAATATGACCCTGTCTACCTGTGATGCAACTTTCAAAGAATTATATACCTGAACCTGTAGGTCTCTCTGTTCAACAACACTACCCAAGACTCTAACATTAACTGCATCAGACCTGCCCTTGTTTGTTTCACCAAAATTCAATACCTCGCATTTATCCAAATTAAACTCCATCTGCCACTCCTCATTGAGCCCCATTGGCCCAATTGATCAAGATCCCTTTTTAATCTTTGATAACCTTCTTCACCATCCACTATACCACCAATTTGGGTGTCATCCACAAACTTACTAACCTCCTAAATTCTCATCCAAATCATTTACATAAATGACAAACAAAAGTGGACCTAGCAGGAACGCCACTGGTCACAGGCCTCCAGTTCGAGAAACAACACTCGACCGCTATCATCTGTCTCCTACCATCAAGCCAATTTTGTATCCAATTGGCAAGCTCTTCCTGAATCTTATGTGATCTAACTTTACTAATTAGTCTACCACGCGGAATCTTGTCAAAGGCTTTAAAGTCCATGTAGAAAACGTCTACTGCTCTGCTCTCGTCAGTCTTTTGGTTATGTACTCAAAAAACTCAAGTTTGTGAGATACAATTTCCCACACACAATGCCATGCTGACTATCGCTAATCAGTCGTTGCCTCTTTTTTAAGTACCTAACCTCTACACTGTTAATCCATTCCCACTAAGAATTCCATTGAAACTTCCCAAATTTATTCCACTTGGGTTTCATGTAACCAGGTAAAAGAGGAGATTTTTATCTGATCAACCTGAGGACATCCCCTGCTGGCCTCTTACCTGCCCTGGACCTGTTTATTGTTAATTGCCAACTGCCAACCCGACATCGACTGCCTCGATTTCTCCACCTCCCTCACCAACTCCAACCTCTCCCCCTCTGAACATGCAGAGCTCCACTTTCAGGCCTTCAGTTTCTTCCCCTCCGACGACCCATCCAGCTCCCACCCCCACCAATACCCTCCTCTGCCTCGCCGAACTAGTCCTCACCCTCAATAACTTTTCCTTCAATTCTTCCCACTTTCTCCAAATCCAGGGGGTTGCCATGGGCACTTGCATGTGCTCCAGCTATACCTGCCTGTTTGTAGGTTATGTCGAACAGTCACTCTTCAGTGTGTACATCGGTACTGTTTCCCAACTCTTCTGCTGTTACATCGATGACTGCATCGGTGCTGCATCCTGCAACCAGCCTGAACTGGAGCAGTTCATCGACTTCGCTAACAACTTCCACCCCGCCCTCAAACACACTTGGTCTATCTCAGACACCTCCCTCGCCTTTCTTGACCTCTCTGTTTCCATTTCAGGCAAGTTTACAGACTGACATTTACTATAAACCCACAGACTCCCATAGCTACCTGGACTACACCTCCTCCCAACCTGAATCCTGCAAAAAGTCCATCCCGTTTTCCCAATCCTCCATTTCCGTCACATCTGCTCTGACGAGCAGACATTCTACACTCAAGCATCCCGGATGTCCGCCTTTTTCAAACAACAGTCTTTTCCCCTCCTCTGTCATCCAGGCAGCCCTCCACTGTGCCTCCTCCATTCCCTGCTCCACAGCTCTTAACCACCCCCCCTCCAAACATAATAGATAGGGTCTCCCTTGTCCTCACTCTCCACCCCACCAACCTCCGCATCCAACATATCATCCTCAAAAACTTCTGCCAACTCCAATTAGACCCCACCACCCAGAACATCTTCCACTCCCTTTGCCTTCCACAAGGACCACTCCCTTCGCCACATCTTAGTTCGTGCCACACTCCCCCCAAGCACTCCAACCCGCCCAGTACCTTCCCTAGTAACCATAAAAGATGCAACACCTGGCCACACACTACCTCCCTCACCTCCAGTCAGGGCCATAAATAGCCCTTCCAAGTGAGACAGAGCTTCACCTGTATCTCCTCCAACCTAGTCTATTACATCTGGTGCTCCCGATGTGATTTTCTCTACGTCAGTGAGACCAAACGTAGGCTTGATGACCATTTTGCCAAGCATCTTCGCCTGGTCCGTAATGGCCAACTTAACCTCCCGGTCACCACCCATTTCAACTCACCGCCCGACTCCCCCTCCAACAGGTCCGTCCTCGTCCTTCTCCAGTGTCGCAGTGACTCGCAATGCAAATCTGAAGAACAACACCTTATCTTCCGCCTGGGCACCCTCCAGCCAGGAGGACTCAACATTGAGTTCTCCAATTTCAAATAACCTTACCACTCATCTCCCAGCTCCCCTTCCAGCCCCACCTCCTCTCTTCCTTTCCACCTTCAGACCCTCCCTTTCAACCACCAACCGACTCAGCCCTCCCATCGACCAACCAGGTCATACCTTCTACCAGTGTCCACCTATCACCACCATTCCACCTCCATCCCTCCCCCCCACCCACCCTCCATATCTGCAGCTCCCCATACCCACACATCCAGTCCTGTAGAAGGGTTATACCCAAAATGTTGACTGCTCCTTTCCTCCAGATGCTGCCTGGCTTGCTGTGTACTTTCAGCCTCCTATTTGTATACCTTGGATTCCAGCATCTGCAGTTTTTTTTAATCTCTTAAAATAAGCCCCCTAGCAATGAAGAACATTGTTCTAATGCTTAACGCAAGCCCATTTCAATTATTTCTTAAATAAACTTTGCCACCTCCTACAATGTTTTCAAATATTTTAGGGCAATATTTACACCCAGAATGTACAGTAATATTTTTTGTGTTGCAACTATGCCATTTACATACGTATGGATATGCACTCTAAAGCAAAGTGGCACGTGTCCTTTCACTGTGGTAAATGAGAAAATCTATCAATGTACATAAAAACGAAATGAGCAACACTAAGGTAGCTTTGGACCTACCTGGAAGAATCAGGACATCGTCCGTGGCAGAGAGAGCTTCACCGTCCTTGTACCAGGAGAGAATGGGAGGTGGAATGGCATTAGTCTCACAGTAGAGAGAAACTGGGTTATTCACAATCACTTCCCGATGCTCGACAATCTCCTCTGCTTCATCCTCCCGGTATAACACCTCCCAGGCGGCGTTCACACCATATAGCTTCTGGAAGATTGGAGGCACTGCAATGTGTGCAGAAGAAAAGGATTTCTAACATAATTCAAGTATTGCAGAGTTCCACCTATCTACTCAAGCATGAGAAACTTGAATTCATATAGGACTTTATACAACCCCAGAACACCACAATCACTTTACAACCTTAAAATATCTTCTGACGCTTAGTGACTGTTGTTACATAGAAAAGGCAGAAGCTAATTTGTACACAGAAAGCTCCCACAAACAGCAGTGAGTAAACAAATAAACTAAAACAGGCCATTTTGTCATTATTTCATTGCTGGAATGTTAATTGAGAGACCATTGCAGCTCTTCATCAAAATAGCACACCTGAGGCTTGAAAGGTGGCTCTATCCAAAGAGTGGTATATCCATAATAATGCAGCACTCCCTTAGTGCTGTAGTTATTGGGTACTGAAATTTTACACTCTCATCTCTGGATTGGGACTTGAACCCTCAAACTTCTGAAGTAAAATTGACAAAGTTGCTTACATCAGATTATTGCTAGCCTTGAAGTGGGTAGAGAGATGAGTAGGTGAGATTGTTTCAGGGACCTAGATTTCGAATAAAGCTTAAGGAAGTCGGGGAGTGTTCTTCAGGAGGTGATTTTCCAGCTGGTAATTTAAAGTCTTCACGTCCTAGGTAGGGGTTTGGTAAAACTAATCCTGGGAAATTGCTTAAACACAAGCAAAATATTAGAAGTTTGGATGAAGAAGGAAAGTCAATGTCAATGAAATGTTCATTATTTGAAAAAAGGTCACAGTGCTGTGCAGAGGGTGTCAGGGAGTGGGACCTGCAAAGATTGTATCTTTTATTTTTCTGTACATTTGATTGTGGACTGCAATGGGAAAATGACTGTTTTAGAAAACAATGATTGTGATAGGACATCAGCACTTTTGTAAAATTAAGCTATGAGTCCTTATTTTGCATGCTGTTAACACTGTTGTTTATTCAACAAGTTGTAGGGAGGGTTAGTTGTAGATGAATTGGCACCAGGGAAGGATACAATATAAGGTTCAGCCAGCAAAAATAGCTAGCTGATTGCTCTGTGGAGTGATGACTAGTTGTTGAAAGCCTTCCACCTGCCAACAACTATTCCCAGGTAGCTGAATAGAATGTGAGTGTAGATGAGACAGCCAGAAGCTTTCAGATCTCTGAAAGGGAGGTATTGTCCTTTTCTCTGCAGTAGAAAACATCTAAAGCCTGGAGAAAACCAATTTATTTATTCTCCCTCATAGTTGCTGTAAGCTGTTGCTTTTTAACCAATTAGTCAGAAACTTTACAAAGTATGAACCAATTGTTCTGTGCCTCCTGCAAGCAAGTGAAAGTACCTGAAGTGAGATTGAAGAACAGCAAGTCCTAGTAAACGAAAATTATCATCGTAACAAACCCGGTGGCCAGGAACCATTGAACTGCCTTCCCAGTTTTACACTCCACCCATAACACCAATTCTTTTTTTGTCTGTCTGCATGTGTGCATAAGGGGAGTTTTATAAAGGAGTTACTGTTTTAACTAGGAAAGTTTATACGTCAATAGTTAATTGTTGTTTACTTGTAGCTAAAAGTTATTTATTTGTAATAGTAATTCTTGTTCACCTGGTCCATGTTTTCTGTAAGCCCGAGAATAGCCTTGTCTCAGTGCTGTAACTGATCTATAATTCCCTCATTCTATTGTGGAATAAATAACCAGGAGAAGACATGGACTCGAAGAGTTCAATATATTCAGAACACAATGAGTTACTAGAAACAGAAACACTCAAGAGATATGGCGAATTAGATAGGGGAAATCGAGATCAATCAGAAAAGAACTGACTTATTGGGCCATGCCATTTCCTAAAGTATTCTATAAGTTCCAGCTGTCTGCAGTTTTACACTTTCCTTAAGAATAACATGGCTGAGATTGGGAACACATAATTTTAGCGATTTGAAATACAAAACACACCAGGCAGTAGACTCCCATCCTGAGATTCAGATGTCATAAAGAAACAGCTTGAGCCTTCTTATCAGAGTTTATGGTATGCTTGGAATCCTTTTGATGTATTACTCCCATGCAACACAATCTAAACCGTATGGAACTATACATTAGAATACCAGAAAACAGGAACTGTGCGTGAGGAGTCAGGCAAACTGGAATTCCACTGGGAAAGGACAAAGAAAATTAGCAGACCACACAGGGACCTCATGGAAATCTGGCTGTATTCACACAATTTGCCATCTCTGGAATTATTACTGACCTTGAATGTTAACATGAAAATCCTTTTCATCCTCTCCTGCAATGTTTGTGGCCACACAAGTGTAACGACCTGTGTCTGACACCCTTGTATATTTAATTTGGAGAACATGTCCTTTGTCAAGAATCTGAAGATGTTCAGTTCCTGTCAACAGCTGGAATAAGAGGAATGGTCAGGATTTAATGGCCATACCATGACCTACTTTGCCCTCCCCCACATAGCTAGATGTCATCGGTATTTTTACTGATTCTGTGCTTGGAATGGGGAGGGAAAGGGAAAAGTAATGCGGACTGAAACAGGATTACAATAGTGTGTTCTAAGACCACTGGCCCAAGTTCTTTCTGAATGCAGCTAATCAATGTCGTGTAGAGATTGGTGGATTAATCTTCAGCCTAGCTTCATGCAATTGGTGTTTACATGACCGTGTGTCTGGGATGTCTAAAGAGAACAAGGGAAAGGGAGGCAGGATAGATTTGGTTTTTTGGTAAACACCACAGAATTCCTGGGGTGATGAATAAACAGTTGAAAGCAGCCATTATTCCAGCTTTCCTTCAGTAAAGTTTTGTCAATGGCCGTGTTAACCATGGGTACGAATCTGATTTCAGTCGAGAGTGGGTGGGTGTCTTAATTTGCTGGTTGTGAAGTTGGAGGGATAGTAATTCATACTGAGGATCTGATGACAAAACCAGCAAGCATTGGAAAATACTAAGCAGGACTGGCAGTATCAGTGGAGCCAGAAACAGAGATAGGATTTCAATGGTGCGAACTGAAAATTACCCTGCTTCTTGACTGATGCTGCGTGACCTCTCAGTACTTACAGCATTTTCTGTTTCATTTCAGTTTGTCAGGATTTGCAATATTTTGTTCTTTTAAAATTCTGTGGGGATATTGATCATGTGTGAAAATGGAAATGGGAAATAAATCGAATGGCAGAATTTAGTTAAAATAATATTGAAGGAAAAGCAAACTAGGATATATATGTAGCACAGTCATAACCATAGCATGATGCAAAGCATTTCACAAAGTATCTCTAAATGTAATCACTATATAAACCATGGATAGGAAACAGCAGCAAACTTTGAACGTTCAGGTTTGCAAGTTGTTAAAAGTAACATTTACAGTGGATAAAGATGTAAAAAAGTATCTGGAATACTGAGCTTTTTAGCAAGAATTATAAAGTAATGGTGGTTATATATTATAGTTATAATGGTAACTCCATTTAACTCTTAAAATCTGGAGCACTATTTTGCAGTTACGGGTTCCACACAACAGAGGCAATGATCTGGTAGTATTTTCACTGGTATTCCAGAGAGACAGGCAATTTTCTGGTGAAAAAAGTTTAAATCCCACCACAACAGATGGTGAAATTTGAATTCAGTAAGAGTCTAACATTAACCATTTATAAACCTGAAAATATGAAATTAGTCTCAGAGATTGGAGACCCCATTAGTTATAATCGATAGTTTAAAATCCCATCTGGTCCTTTAGGAAAGGAAAACAGCTGTCCTCACCTGGTCTGGTCTATATGTGACTCACAATAATTTTGTTGACTCTTAACTGAAATGGACTAGCAAGCTACTTGGTTCATCAAATGACTGAAAAGTTTCAGAAAACCAGAGAGACCACCTTGTATCGAGTAGGCATTGGAAACAACAACAGAAAACTTAGCTCCATCAAACTATAATCTCCTCCTTGCTGACATCTGGGAGCTGCAAGGTGTGTGATTTATATATTTATTTTGGAGTTTGCATTTTGAACTAGTGACATGTGTGGTTTGGTCACTGTGTAGGAATGGGTTTTATAATTAACTCGTCAACTTTTCTGAAGCCATGATTTCAAAACCAGTATGTGTCAGACAGCAGCTGACTAGGGGCACTGCTGGAGTGATAATGAGAATTTCTACATATCGTGAATTTTACACTTGCAGAAAGAGAAATATTGAAATGCATTGGCCTGCTTCTGGTTTGGAAGAATCAAAAAGTGATTTTTGATAGGAAAAATAACCCAGAGATTGGAAGTTTTTGTTTTCAGTTTGCAGAAGACCTGGCTAGGGTCAAATGTCAGAGTAGTTTCTCCTGGAGAAAGGAGTTAGTTCAAGGGGAAAAAAGATTATACCAGAGTGGCCCAAATCTTGCAACTTATATACCAGAGCACCCACTCCCCACGAAGAGTTCTTGAGCTTTTGGGATGATGCTTGAGTGCATTCTGTTCAAAGCCTTACTTACTGATCTGTACCAGGATCTTATCAAGTAAGGCTGATTGTTCACAGGAAATCTTTTTTCAGTTATGAAAGCGAGTGAGAGATTACTGTTACCTGACCATCCTTATACCAGCGAAGAGCAGGGACCGGGGTTGCCCATGATTCACACATCAGTGTCAATGTGGTGTTCACCTTGGTCTTCACGTGAGTGACATGAAAACCTCCTGCTGTCTGATCATCCTTTGCTATCAGTGGAGGAACTGAGAAGAAAGAATTTTTTTTAAAGAGTTACCAACCTAATTGATCATAATAAGCTTTGCACCAAAAGATGATTGTCATTTTGCTTCCCTGGCCAATCTTGTCTGTTCTCTGGTATTAACTGCATCAATTGAAGTTAAACACACACAGGTGGAGGGTGCTGAGTGGATGTGCTCAGTAGAGTATGTAAAAAGATACATACTACTCATGAGTTAAGTTAGGAGGTGTACAGTTACAATGCTTACTTTTAAATAAACCTATCTCAAGTAAAGACTGACTTTGAACTCTTCCTTTAGCAACTTGTTATCAAGAATATAACACCTGGCTCATTGATTTCCCACTCGAAGGTGGCAAACCATCTAGAATTATCTTGGAAATCACCAGGAATTAAGGATTCATAATCAGCTTTACGATGCAAGCAACACAGGACTATTATCATAGGTCGTGAAGCATATAATATGCTGAGAGATCTTTGCAGGATGGATGTGAAAAGGATTGTTTCCTCTTGCAGGAGAACTGTTTTCTCACAGAAGGCCATGTCTCTTTGGAACTCCTCAAATGGCAGTAGAAGTAGAGTCTTTGAATGGTTTAAGGCAGGGATGGATAGATTCTTGATAAGCAAGGGGTGAAAGGTTGTTTTAGGTGGGCAGAAATGTGGAGCAATCAGATCAGCCATAATCTTAAGGTTTAAGAGGCCAAGTGGACTACTTCAATACTAAACCATGCATTTGTACAACCAATAAAGACATTCCACTTTGAAAACTTTTGTTTATGAATTAAAAAGTATATTGGACATGCGAATAAATGCTGTTGACTGATGACGCAGAAACATTTAATCAATATCATTTCCAATTGACAGGAAAAGATCCTGCACAGGTAAGTGGTGATGTCTGTCAATCAATGACTGTAAAATGCGGGTGGGTCTTTTGGAGGCATGTTCTTTTGACATGTGTTGAAAACTCTGGGAACATATACCAATGAAGAAGGCAACCCATTGTTTAAACCAGGTCTACATAGATGAAAAGAGTACATAAAAGCCAGGCCAAGATTCCAAGCTGCTCCTTCACACCTCTTAGTAGTTGTACCACATTAGCAGTGGTAGTGGGATGATAATCAATCATCTGTCAAACATGATAAGTATTAAACAAAATGGGTATCTTATCTTTACAAGCAATAACATTTTTCAGAGAGAACAGAAAATTAAAATCACTTCTGTGACAAGTTAGGAAGACTGAAGGCAGAAATCCTGATTCTATTATTGGATATGAATAATTGTTTTTTAAATGGGGATTAAAATTCACAAAAAAAGTGAACAAAAATATAACTGTAAATAGGTCTGGCTTTCTTTCATAGTATAAAATAAAAACATTTGTGAGGCTGAACTAAGCAAAGCGTATTTACCTCTTATAGCTTATCACTTTTTGTTTTCATACTCTGTAGCAGCCTTCTCAACCATAAGTTATCCTTGTTTTCTCTTTAGGATGCTTCAGGTTTTGAGTGTCACTTATTACTAAGCTACTGAGAAAGCACTTACTGAAGACTTTGAGCTCATAATCCTTCACAGCTTCCCCTGCTATATTTGTCACGACACAGCTGTAGCGACCAGCATCTTCCTCCTGTACATTCAGAATCTGGAGTCCACGACCTCCTGAAAACAGAAGGGTATAGCAATATCTAAAAAATTATGTATGTGAAATCTTGTTGAAAAAAGAGCCACATTACCAAAACTTATTATCTTGCACACATCAGGACAAATGCAAGAATGTTAAATATTAAACAAACACAACACTTTATACCAGAGGATAAAAGGATGCTGATTGGTTGGCAAGTCAACTATGATTGGCTGCGGCATTGCTATGGAGAAAGCTTGCACGCCTATGTTTTCCAGTTGCTTTTTTAATGGCAATGCGCCTGCCAGTTCAACCCAACCTGGCAACTAATCAGCACACTTTTCTGATGAGAACAAGACAAAAAAAAACCTCAGCAACATGTCTCTTCTTTCACAAATACTTAAGTTCCGCACTATCAAGTACTCATGTGTGAAATCCTTCAATTGGTAATATTTTTGCTTCTATTGAGTGTACTGTGCTTTGGTTCTTTTTAATGTTGTGAAAGGAGCTGTATAAAATTGGTTTGGTTTTTTTTTATGGGTTATATAGAACAACAATAACACTAATAGCTGCTACTTTATTTTCCCCACAAGAAAACAGCATGTCCTCTAAAAGCAAAATAAAGTAAACTTCTGATAATCTTGATTGATGCAGAAGTGTAACTGTTATACCTACTATACTAGAACACATTCCATAGGAGAGTTCCTGGACACACGCACTACTGAACTGCCTAAGAACTGCGAATACTTGGACACCAATGTCTGCTGATTCCCACCATTGCTTGTAACTCTGCACGCATCAATCCGGAATCAAGCAGTGCATGGTGGGTATGCATGTGATGTCAACAGATAAGGCCTATTTGATAATCTGCCATGCTCTTTTTCACTCTAAAACTCCCAATTGATTGATATCTGTCACAGCTAGGTGATCCAGTGGCTCTAGCTGCAATATTAGGGAAAGCAACCTTATGATTTGCAACAAAGGAACTGTGAGCAATTCAATGGGAATTTCACTTGTGAACTAAAAATATTCGTCTTCATTGTTCAGAGAAAATGATATAATTTTGTATCTCGGCTCAGGTTGTCCTCTGATGAGAGCTTGAATACATTGGGTCAATAAACTTTTGACATTTTAAAATGAAAGTTGATCCTATAGAAACTTTTAAAATCCTTTGAGGGTTGGGTCCATCAATTGAAGAGTCTTGAATTTGGGAGCATCATCTCAGAATGAGGGGGCGATTATTTAAGGACAAGATGAGAAAGAGTTTTTTCTCTTAGAAAGGTGTGTATCCTGGGAATTTGCTACCCCAGAGGGTAGTGAAAGCTCAGTCATTGAATATATTAAAGCTGAGATAAGTACAATTTTGGAGACGAAGAGAACAAAGAAATCTGGGGATTGGTTAGGAGACTAGAATTGCAGTTGAAGATCAATCATGATTTTATGAATGACAGAGCAGGCCTGAAGGGTCAAATGAACTATTCCTATTTGTTATGTTCTTGTTATAATTTAAGTACCAATCAAAGGTTTAATGAGAAGGGTTTATGTGGGAAGGGGTGCTCACTGAGGTTAGCACTATTGAATTTCAATAATAGAAGAAACAGTATGGTGAGAGACAAAAGCTGCTCAATTCCACTTGCACTTTCCCAATCCCTGGTATGTCTACACCCCTTTTCCATGATTAAGACTTCTCTCTCCTTTCAATTTAAGAACTTTATAGCCTGGTTCTTTTCTCTATTTCCAATTAGGGGCCTGCAAAGCCAGGCATTTGTTATAGTCATAGAGTTTTACCACACTGAAAGAAGTCTTTCAGCCCATCGTGTCCATGCAGGTCATCAAACACTATCTACTCTCGTCTCATTTTCCAGCACATGGCCTATAGCCTTGTGAGCTATGGCACTACAAGTGATCATCAAAATACTTCTTAAATGTTATGATGGCTCTCACCCAAACCAGCCTTTCGGCCAGTGAGTTCCAGGTAACAACCATCCTCTTCTTGAATCCCTTCTGAACATCCTGACCTTTATTTTAAGTCTATGCCCCTATACCCCATCTACTAAGGAGAAGTGTTTCCTCCAATCTATCTGATCTGCAGAGTGGTCATCCAGCCTGCCAGAAGAATATAAGATTTCCCACATTCAGCAGTCTGTGCAACACAAGTGACTGAGCACCCCTGCCATGTATTTAATTACAAAAAAAACTTCTTGCCCTAAAATTAACCTGAGTAGAAATTTAATCAAGCTTTCTTTTAAAAAAAAGGCTGGAACTCCTACCAAAAGACCATAACATATTGGAGCAGAATTAGGGCATTCGGTTCTGCCATTTGATCATGGCTGATATGTTTCTTAACACCAATATCCTGCTCCTTCCCATTACCGTCGATCCTCTTATTTATCAAGAACTTTTCTATCTCTGTCTTAAATACACTCAATGACTTGGCCTCCAAAGCCTTCTCTGATAATGAGTTCCACAGATTCACCACCCTCTGGTTGAAGGGATTCCTCCACATCTCAGTTTTAAAGGGTCATTCCTTCACTCTGAGGCTGTGTCTTCAGATCGCAGTCTCTCCTACTTTTGGAAACATCTTCTCCATGTCCACTCTATCCAGGCCTCTCAGTATCCTGCAAGTTTCAATGATATCCCCCTCATCATTCTAAACTCCATAGAGTACAGACACTGGATGCTCAACTGCTCTTCATATGACAAGCCCTTCATCCCTGGGATCATTTGTGTAATCCTCCTCTGGACCCCCTCCAATGCCAGCACCTCCTTCCTTAGATATGGGGCCCAAAACAGCTCACAATATTGATGGCAAATTAATTATCTGTATTTCCTTTTTAAGCATAGTTAGTAAATGTGGTGTGATAAATGCAACAGTCAATTTCTGCAGTGACTATGTCCCTGAAAGAGCAATAAGATAATGATCAGCTAAAATCTGTTGAGGAATAAATTTTATGCAGGTCACCACGAAGAAATTACCTGTCCCTCTTTTGAGAGTGCCAGGGGATATTTTACACCCTCTTGAGAATGAAGATGGGGTCTTATTACATATTTCATCTGGAAGACAGCACCATCGACAGTGCATGCCCTCAGCACACGATACTGAGTTTCACCTTAGACTAATTTGCTCAAATCATGAAATTAGACTTGAACCCATGGCATTGTGGCTCAGAAGAATATATATTTCCAATTGAGGCATGGCTGACGAATATGGTTTTGATTGGACCAAAGCTGATTTAATTTTGACTTTCAGTGGGTATGAATTGCTGGGGCTGGCGGGGCTACTCACCAACTGTGACAGCACATCAGCAAATCACACGCCAATCCCTATAGTCCTGTGTCCAGATGGACAATTGCGATAAATGTGTCTACAAGTTCTTGATCTGCACACCTGGAGGAGAGCCTTTATTTCATGAAATTGGTGTCATTACTTCTGTCACTCTACAAATAGAGATAGTAGTCGAAGAACAAGAGCTTCGATTATGCTAAAATAAAACACCTTGGTAGGAAAATACCTGGCAAAAGATGGATATTCCTGGAAGCCTTGAAGGGTATGCCATCCTTGAGCCAGCGGATGGTTGGGCTTGGATAGGCCTCAGCCTCACACGCCAATGAAGTTGGATTATTCACAATAACTATGACATCCTCTGGGGTGCCATCTTCACCAATACTGGGAATTCTGGGTGTAACTAGGAAAATAGTAACAACAAGGACATGATGTTCAGCACAGAAGTCTACCATAGACCCAACACTGCCATCCAGACTGCAGAAGGAAGGGGCCATAAGCTGATGCAACAATTCAATCAAGGGCTGAGTTGCCTCATGCACCATAATGGCTCTATGAAACATAAAGTAGTTATCACCATTTAGGTTGTTGCCTTCTTCAAGTGTACTGAGAATTTTGAGAACATGGACATATGCCTTGCTCCCAATCTTGCAGATTGTAAGAGGAATTGGCACAGGGAAAGGAACAAGAATGGGGACCAGGCGAAGGCTAGGATTGGGAACAGCAGAAGGAATGAATATAGGGAAAGAAATGAGAAGGGAGAATTAAGAAGGTGGTGTTAGAGCTCCTGTAATTTCCTCCCTTGTCTCCTACAGCAGCCTAGGATACAACTCATTTGGACCTGAGGATTAGTCCACTTTTAAGCCTTCTTTTTTGTCTGCCTTTGCTGAAATATGAATTACAAAGCAAATTGACACTGTTAACCATTGCAACAGTATGGTCAGATAATAGTGCACTGCCAGAGATGAATTTTTAAGGCAAAGGTAGATAGATTTTTGAGCAGTAAAGGAATCAAGGGTTATGATGAGCAGGTGCGCAAGTGGAGCTGAGTCCATGAAAAGATCATACAAGATCTTATTGAATGGCGGAGCAGGCTTAATTGTCTGTTAATTGTCTGTTCCTGCTCCTATTTCTTATGTTCTTATGTAATTCACCTTATCACTGCATCCACACAGGATCTCAATTTGAATTGGGATTGGCACAATGTGATCTTTTTGCTGAGAGGCAAGAGCAGAAACTAGGTCTCCAGTTTCACCATCACTGGTTGTTCTCATTGTGTGTGACAATCCACAGATTGATATTGCCCATTATTCTCAACCTATTGCTGTGATCATATAGCACAATCAACCATCCTAAACAGTCATTCCTTCTGCCACTGAGACACAAGGTCAGCAATATGTATCATCTACAAGATGGATTGCAGAAATCTGTCATGGTTATTTGACCGTACCTTCTAAACACATGAACTCCACCAACTAGAAGGATAAGGGCAATAAATGCATGGGAACACCACTGCTTTTAAAATCCTACTCCAAGCCACACACTTATAACAATGATGTCTTTTTCTCATCGTCACTGGGTTTTGAGGCTGGAACTCCCTAAGAAAGTAGCTTTGTTGACTAACAGGGGAGTTAGAGGATAGTGGGAGTAAGTAGGAAAATGCAGTTAAGGCCGTAATCAGCCAAAATCTTATTAAATCTCAGAGCAGGCTCAAAGGCACTGAATTGCATACTCCTGCTCCTAATGTATTTGTTTAAATCAAAGGCACAATGCACGTACCTATACCACGTGGTCTGCAGTGGTTCAAGAAGATGGTTCATGACCACCTTCCCAGGGGCAACAAGGCTTGGGCAATAACTGCAGGCTTTGCTATCCCGAGAAAGAATAGAAAAATTTAGATGAGGTTGAAAGGAAAGAGAGATAAAACGAAGGGGAAGAAGGGATATGAAAACTAAACTAAAATTTAAGAAATGATTAACAAGATTTTAGTTTGGAAGTGTAGACCAAATGGTAAGTATTTCTCTACCCATAACAGGTCAAACACCTGATGCAACTGAAACATTTTATCAGTATGCATTCATTAAAGTACCTCTATATTTCCTACTTAATTTTGCTAATAGCTAAGCACTGTGTGTTTACTTACACTTTCCGAAATCAGCTTCAGTGGTCAGCAGCCACACGACAAACTGTACAATTCAACACTGCATTAGGTGTGAATCAGGAAGGGAGTGAGAGGGGTTAGAATGTAGAGTGTCACACTGGTTCTTGGCTCTGGTTGGCGTAAAGATGTATGGAGTATTACTCTAGATAGGTTCCTTTATCAGGGAATCTTCAATGCTGGAGCTGGTGTAAAGCATTTCATTCTCCTCACTGAAAATCCCTTTAATAACTTCTTTTAGTGATAACAATTCCTAATAGGGTGAGCTATCTGGTACCATGGAATAAGGGGAAGCATCTCAGCACTAAGCATTCCCCATACAGTGAACTCATGGTCTTAACAGGGAAAAGAGGGGAGAGGAGGGACAGACAAGGTGCTTTTGATGAGCTAAGAAAGAAAACACTAACCCAGGCCACTTTTGATGACATAGTAAATGCAGTAGCCTATTAATCACCTGACCCATTTATTGTTCTGCACATACCAACATATTCATTTTTGATCAATTGAAGTTGGAAAAACTTTGCTTTTATCTCACTTTTGTTCCCAGGTGTATCTCTCACCATTCAGTGATCACAAAGTTTTCTGGCAGTGTTAGTCTGAAACTTAATCCGATGTTAACTAATTCTTGCCCTCTGAATCACCCCCACCCCTACTCAGTAAGACGTGGCTAATCAGTCCTTGGCACAGATGGGGGAGTTGTAGCATTGTGGTTTTGTAACTGGACAAATAATCCAGAGGTCTGGGCTGATGTTCTAGAGACGTAAATTGAAATCCCACCATGGCAGCTGGTGGAATTTAACTTCAATAAAACAATAAACATGAAATTAAGATCTATTCTCATCAATAATGATCATGAAACATTTTGTTATGAAAACCCATCTGGTTTTCTGAAATAACAAGGTGTAGAGCTGGATGAACACACAGGCCAAGCAGCATCAGAGGAGCAGGAAAGCTGACGTTTCAGGTCTGGACCCTTCTTCAGAAAATGTTCAGGAAAGGAAATCTGCCATCCTTACCCAGTCTGGCCTTTATGTTGTGCCAGAACAACAGCAATTCAGTTACTCTTAACTATCCTCCAGAAATGGCTGAGCAAGCCACTCAGTTGTAGTTGAGCCACTATGGATGGACAACAAATGTTGGCTTTGCCAGCAACACTACATCCCAAGAATGAGTAAAACAAAAAAGCACCCCATTGTGATGTAGATGGTGTCAACAGAGAGGGTGAGGGTTCACATTTACAAATTTAAATTTCGGTGCTCCACATCATTGCAATTCAGTGTGCCCCAATGCTGTCTATCCCAGTAAATAAACAGAAGTAGTAGGAACTGCAGATGCTGGAGAATCCGAGACAACAAGGTGCAGGGCTGGATGAACACAGCAGGCCAAGCAGCATTATAGGAGCAGAGAGGCTGACGTTTCGGGCCTAGACCCTTCATCAGAAAAGGGGGAGGGGAAGGTTTTGAAATAAATAGGGAGAGAGTGGGAGGCGGATAGAAGAGGGATAGAGGAGAGGATAGGTGGAGAGGAAACAGACAGGTCGAAGAGGCGGGGATGGGGCCAGTAAAGGTGAGTGTAGGTGGAGAGTTAGGAAGGGGATAGGTCAGTCCAGGCAGGACGGACAGGTCAAGGGGGCGGGATGAGGTTGGTCGGTAGGAGATGGAGGTGCAGCTTGAGGTGGGAGGAGGGGATAGGTGGGAGGAAGAACAGGTTAGGGAGGCAGGGACGAGCTGGACTGGTTTTGGGATGCGGTAGGGGGAGGGGAGATTTTGAAACTTGTGAAATCCACATTGATACCATTGGGCTGCAGGGTTCCCAAGCGGAATATGAGTTGCTGTTCCTGCAACCTTCAGGTGGCATCGTTGTGGCACTGCAGGAGGCCCAGGATGGACATGTCGTCTGAGGAATGGGAGGGGGAGTTGAAATGGTTCGCGACTGGGAGGTGCAGTTGTTTATTGCGAACCGAGCGTAGGTGTTCTGCAAAGCGGTCCCCGAGTCTCCGCTTGGTTTCCCCGATGTAGAGGGAGCCACACCGGGTACAGCGGATGCAGTATACCACATTGGCAGATGTGCAGGTGAACATCTGCTTGATGTGGAAAGTCTTCTTGGGGCCTGGGATGGGGTTAAGGGAGGAGGTATGGGGGCAGGTGTAGCACTTTCTGTGGTTGCAGGGAAAAGTGCCGGGTGTGGTGGAGCTGGAGGGGAGTGTGGAGCAGACAAGGGAGTCACGGAGAGAGTTGTCCCTCCGGAAAGCAGATAAGGGTGGGGATGGAAAGATGTCTTTGGTGATGGGGTCGGATTGCAGATGGCGGAAGTGTCGGAGGATGATGCGTTGGATCCGGAGGTTGGTGGGGTGGTACGTGAGGACGAGGGGGATTCTTTTTTGGTTCTTATTGCGTGGACGGGGTGTGAGGGATGAGGTGCGGGAAATGTGGGAGACACGATTGAGGGTGTTCTCGACCACCGAGGAGGGGAAGTTACGGTCCTTGAAAAATGAGGACAACTGAGATGTACGGGAGTGGAATGCCTCATCCTGGGAGCAGATGCGGCGGAGGCGAAGGAATTGGGAAT